TGTGTGTGTGTGTGTGTGTGTGTGTGTGTGTGTGTGTGTGTGTGTGTAACCAGACTGAAGTGTACCCCTCCCTGTAGCCAGAAGCCGGGGAGAGGCCTTAGACCGGAGTCCTCCTCTGCAGTCTATTCTGTCCGCCACAAAGCTCTCCAGTACCCCAGGTTGGCTGGCATCCGAGAAGCACCTCAGGCTCCTCCCAACCCGACCGAGTCACAGGTCTACCCGGTGCAGTTGTGCAAAGCTGTGTAGGGCTAATTGCTGCTGAGGTTAATTGAGGCCTTGGATCTGATCTGCCCTTCCCAGGAGAGCTCGACCCAGTAACTGCGTCAAGTCCCAGCTCTCCTAGCAAACAGAGCTTGGCACCCAGCCACGCTCCGGAGCACCGGGGGCCACCTCCTCAGAGGTATTTACGCTCCTCACTTCCAATGGACAGCAGGAACCTAAATACGTCTGAGGATCTGGGCCCGCGTTCCTCTCCTGCAGGCTTCCAGTTTGGCTGGTTTCCTCCGACTGGAAGGTCCTGGGGCAGGGATTGTGTTTTCCTGGCTGTGTGGGGCCTGCGCCCAGTACACTCTGGGTGTGTTACCAACAAACAAAAGAATGAGAATGATTGTTCTAGACTCAAGGCAGAAGAATGTTCTTGAGACCGGGCCTCTGAGGAGAGTCTGCGGCTTTCTCAATGGCGTGGCTTTTGGCAAGCCGGCTGCTCGGGCCGCACGTTGCCTGCACAAACCCTCTTCAACAACAAAGCTGCACTTTCATGTCTAGCTTCCTATGATTATCCCTCCAACGGCAGAGCCTGGCCTTTCGACACACACCGATCGCCCCCAGCGAGAGCCTCACACCGAGTGCTTGCTCTGGATAAATTCGCGCAGCAATTACAAGCCCAAGAAACCAAGGGTGTGAGCTGGCAGCGCTGGGGGGGGGGAGGCTCTCTAATGTTCGCTTAGCCTGGGTTCAAGACCCGGTCTTTGCGTAATCCATGCCCAGGATTCTGTGCTGTGCTGGGCATGGAGGAACTTGAGTGGCCTACAGAGCCCCCAGGAACCGTCCATCGCTGGCAGGAATGAGCATGGCTTAGCCCGGGGCGACTCTGAACCCCAGGGACTGAGAGCCAGCGCCAGAGCTGTCAGGAAATGCTCAGCCCTAGACCAGAGCCCTCTAGTCTCATTCCCAGGTTCTCAGAAATAAACCCAACGGAAGCGGGCCCCTCCCCAGAGCTGCACACTCGGGGTAGCTAGCCCCTGCTGCGGCTGGGCTCTGGTCTCAGCGCACGAGGTCAGAGCTCGCCTGAGGATTTCTCCTCCAGCTCAAAGCGTAGCCGTATACCTAACGTGTTTGGAGCGTCGGAGCTTCCTCTGGGTGATCTGGCAAATCCACCCACCATAGCTTAGGGCAGCGGTGCCCAAACTTTTCTTGTCACGCCCTCCCTTACCAGTAATGGAATCTGTCCGCGCCCCCCCCCCATTATTGCACACCCAAGGCTTCCTCAGTAGAGCAGCAGGGGCTGAAGGTGGAGTTGGGGGCAGAACTGGGGCTGGGGGGGGAGCTGGGGCTAGAGGTGGGGAGGGAATGAGGGAAGAACTGGGCTGGAGGCGGAACGGAGTTGTGGCTGGCGTTGGAACTGGTCTGGGGCTCCCTCCCTGCCCCCCAGAGGGGCTGGCCCGGGCCCCGCCCCATGCCCCTGAACATTCCTCCACGCACCCCCCAGGCGGGTGCACCCGACACTTAGGGCAGTGGGGACAGCTGGTCGGAGGCTTGCACTGATTTATGGCAATTCTCAAGCACATGTGAGAACAGCTCTGGCCTCCTGCACCTTGCAGAGCCCAGCACTTTCCGTCCAGAGAGCACCAAAGCGAGGTGCGCACGCACGCCTGTGCTTTCGAGCTGTACATCAGTGCGACAGGCTCACCCTTGTCACCCGTGTCGGCTAAAGGGGCCGGGTAGAAGTCTGCGTTCTCCCGGGGAATCTCCGCTAGCTACAGATGTGCCCTGGTCCCCCGACTCCAAGGAAAAGACACTGACTAATCTGTCCCTCGTGTGCTGCAGGAGTCATCAGCCTGCCTTACGCCGAAATCGAGGAGCCCTTCGAAGCCTGGTACAACCTGAGTGGAGGAAAGAGCCGGATCCAGTACTACCACGGTAAGCTGCCGGGGTCCTTGCGGGAGGAGGACTAGAGAGAGTCTCCTGGGGGTCTGTAGAGCAGGATGTGCCTATGGGTGGTTCAGCCGAAGGGCAGAACTTGTCACGTGCCAAGTCCGGGGTGACACCATCTCCTGCTCGTGCAAGGGGCTGGCTGGGTTAGCTCAGGAGTTGCGGCCGTGGGCGAAGAAGTCGAGGCTGAGAACCGTTGCAGATGGGCTGCTCAGTCCCGCTATCGGTCAGGCACGGGTTGCCTCTGCTTGGACAACTGGGTGGATTTGGACAGCAACGTGGACGTCACGTACCGAGGATGAAACAGTGGAAGTGCAGGGTCCTCGAGTAACATTTCCTATTGTCACCTGCATGCGGTGCCTGGCTCTCCCAGACCCAACGACCACGCCCGTGACTCAGGGCAGCGTGGCATCTCCTATCCTGGGGAGGAAGCAGGATCCCACCCCCTCCGTCGGTGCTCTGCGGGAGGAGGGTGGAGAACACTTAAGAGCAGCCCTGCGTAGAAACTGCCTGCCTCTATTTTCCCTTCCTGCCTTGCAGGGCAGGTGATAACTTACCAGTTGGGATCGGTGAAGCCGTACGGTACCAGCTACAAGATTACGCCGGAAACTACTGAGACGGAGGTGAACGTCGTGAAGTGCTTCCAGCTCAATGGCACGAAAGAGAAGCTGGTCAAGCCGCAAAGCGTCTTTCCCCACACACATGGCTTCAAGGTGAGCCCCTTCCGCCGGGGATCTGGGCGGGACGGGGGAGGAGCGCAGGACTCCAGACACCGGGCCAGACCCTCAGCCGGCGTGACTCAGACCCAGACTGACAGCAGCTTGGCCGGGTCACAGCAGCGATTGGGTTCACTGTAGCTGAGAGAACCGTTAGCCCCATTCCGATCTCCAGCCCGTGTGACATTGTAGACAGCGCCTGACAGTTGGCCTGCCCACGCCTTGCCTGCCTCCTCCTTACAGGTATGTGGGAAGCCGCAGACAGTTGTTCAATAGCTTATCGGTAAATGCCAAGTCTCTGTCTCCTTGCTTGAGCCCCTGTGTCTTTCAGTGTTCTTCCTGGCCTCTCCTGGCCGGTGAAGGTTCATGCATACACTTTGTGTAGCTTCCCAGATCCCCGCTGTGGGGTGCAGCCGGGAAGGTGGCCTGTTACAGCTCCCCAGTTCTCTCTCCCAATGCTTGGAGCAGTTTAGAGCAGCCTCAGGGCTGCTCTAACCCTAGCTGAATATCCCTGGGGACATTCCAGGTAGAGATTGGTGGCATGTTTTACACTCGGCCCACTCCTATCCATCCCCTGCTGAGAGCCAGGAAGCATAAGAGCCTGCAGAACCAGTTCCATGCCCTCTGGGGAAGCCCCGTGTCTAAGCAGCACAAAAATAGCACAGCAAGCCAAGGAGCCCAGTGTGGTTGTTAGCGGTGTCAGAAATGGACGGCCCCAATCAGAGCAGGGGGGTTGCCTGGCCAGCCAGACCCTGCAGAAGGAGGCGAGCCTGGGAAGGAGGCACCAGTGCTGGCCAAGAATCTCTTCTCCCTTCCCAACCCTGGGAGATTTGTTGCAACTAGTCCTTACTGCAACGAGGTGGCAGCTTGGGCGAGCCCGTGTGGTGACTCAGCTGCCTGCTACCGCGAGTTCCCCATTGTGGGCGTTGGGCAAAGTTGCTTTCACGTGTCCCGGACTCTGAATGAAAACTGAACTCTGCTTCGCCCGGATGATAATTTGGCAATGGCTGTTTAAAAGGCCTGGGCGTATGGGGAAAACTCACGGATATACGGCTACTTGCTTAACGCAGCTCCCTGGGGAACGGGGCTGTGGAAAGATTCAAGCTCGTACTCAGAGACTCAGAGACTTTAAGGTCAGAAGGGACCATTATGATCATCTAGTCTGACCTCCCGCACAACGCAGGCCACAGAATCTCACCCACCCACTCCTGTAACAAACCCCTCACCTATGTCTGAGCTACTGAAGTCCTCAACTTGTGGTTTACAGACGTCAAGGTGCAGAGAATCCTCCAGCAAGTGACCCGTGCCCCACGCTGCAGAGGAAGGCGAAAAACCTCCAGGGCCTCTGCCAATCTGCCCTGGAGGAAAATTCCTTCCCGACCCCAAATATGGCGATCAGCTAAACCGTGAGCATGTGGGCAAGACTCACCAGCCAGATACCCAGGAAAGAATTCTCTGTAATAACTCAGATCCCATCTCATCTAACATCCCATCACAGGCCATTGGGCATATTTACCGCTAATAGTCAAAGATCAATTAATTGCCAAAATTAGGCTGTCCCAACATACCATCCTCTCCATAAACTTATCAAGCTTAGTCTTGAAGCCAGATATGTCTTTTGCCCCCACTGCTCCCCTTGGAAGGCTGTTCCAGAACTTCACTCCTCTGATGGTTAGAAACCTTCGTCTAAACTTCAAGTCTAAACTTCCTAATGTCCAGTTTATATCCATTTGTTCTTGTGTCCACATTGGTACTGAGCTAAAATAATTCCTCTCCCTCCCTGGTATTTATCCCTCTGATATATTTATAGAGAGCAATCATATCTCCCCTCAGCTGCCTTCTGGTTAGGCTAAACAAGCCAAGCTCTCTGAGTCTCCTTTCATAAGCCATGATCCATTCCTCGGATCATCCTAGTCGCCCTTCTCTGTACCTGTCCTCAGACTGGGAGTTCTTTTGAGCGAGGCCCGTCTCCTTGTGATGCGCTTGGTGCAATGCCTATCACAGTGGGGCCTGATGCTTGCCTGGAGCCACTGGGTGCTTCAGGAATACCAGGGCCAATAACACAGCTGCTCACTGGATATAGTCAGAGGCCACGTTGAATGACCCAAAGCCACTTTCACAGCCCGCGCGTTCTGCAGAGCCAGCCCAGCTCTAGGAGAAGGAGCCGGATTCTGTTCTGTCTCATGCATCAACAGCATTACTAACTAAATTCCAGGTTCCGCCTGCGCAATCCCCAGGGGGTCACCCAGATATTACTGGGGGCAGGATCCTTATGATTGGGCTGATGCTGCAGAAGGAAAGGACTCAGCTTGACGCTCAGATCCCAGGGTTGGCCGTAAGAAATCGTCTGGTTTGCAAATGGTCTGAATTTGACAGGGGGGCACTGAGAGCCAGGGGACAGGGGACCCCCCAATGCTAGCCTTTGCATCACTCAAGACTAGCGCTTCACTTGGAGGCAGGCCCATCAACACGCAGTCTGAAGAAGAACTTCATGCCGCTGGCCCTGCTAGCCAGCAGCAGAGAGGACATGGGAGATGGCCGCCGAGACCATGGGAATGGAGGAGGCAGCTTGTGGAGGGCATAGCCAGAGGTAGACAAGGGAGGACTGGGTTGGAAGGGAGGATGGGGGAGGGGTCGCCCTGGGGATCTTGGAAGCCAGAAGGACTTTTCTGATGGTGGCTGAGGAGTTTTTGGCTCCATGAATGAAGGATGCGGGTGCAGGAAACGCTCTGGAAATTATTTATTATGTAGGATGGTAGCAGCTGACCTAGGAGCTCCAGTCACGGACCAGACCCCAGCTGCGCTAGGCGCTGGACAGACACCAAACAAGAGACAATCCCTGCCCCCAAGAGCCTAACTAAACGTCCCTCTCCGGGGACGGGGCAAGGAGATGAGACAAGCCTGGGTCTGCAGCTAGTGCCTAGCCCCATGACCTCCGTGCACCGGGCGGCATCTCCTAAGGCAAGGCTCGGGGCTGGAGTCGCACCAGCTGCCTCGGGGCGGGAAAGAGGTGCCGTGGGCAGTGTGGGTCAGTCCCACCAGCAGAGCGCTGGAAAGAGCCACCGGGCCTAACTCCGGCTCCCCTCCATTGCCTCCCCAGTTCCTGCGGGAGGAGTACTTCAAAGGGCACTACTGCAGTGTGTGGCAGGACGTGTCCGACTGGGGCAAGAAGAAGAACGTCTACACCTTGTGGGTGACCAACACCAGCTGCGGCTCGTCCCCCGTCCACTACGAGATGCGGGGTTACAACAGCGTGCTGGGCTCCCACTACGACAAATACGAGATCGACTACAGCGACTTCACCAACAGCTACCCGGCCTCTGTCTTCGACCTCCCCATCAACAGTAAGGCGGCCCTGGCGGGTCCTCTCCATCCCTGGGCCAGCATTTATCCCTGCCCGAGACAAGCCTCTTCTCTGTACTGCAATAGCACTCAACTGGGAGCAGGTCCCTTCGCGCTAGGGGCTGCACCAAGATGTGTGCAGACACCCGCCCGGCCCTGACGGGGACGTAGACAGAGGGGGAGGAAGGGATCCGAGCGGAGGATTAGGAACCGAGGCACAGCGAGAGAATGTGGCCTGCCCCAAATGTGGCAGAGTCAGGAATTGACCTCAAGAAGCCCAGGGCAAAGAGGAAGTGGTGGTCGATGCTCTACATCCTGTTGTCCTGGGTGAGCCTGATGTCAGATTCAGGAGGTGCCCAGAAGCGGCAGTGAAACTATTGCGACAGAGGCGCTCAGGGGCGGGGCAGGGAAACTAGCCCCCTCGCCCATCTCCGGCTCCAGACAGACATTGAGCAAGGGCAGCTCAGCCACGTGTCGGAGACAAACGGGCTGGGGGCCGCTGCCCGCTCTCAGATGTTTCCACTGGTGGCTGGCTGGGGGACCCAGCAGCTAAGCCAGTTCGGGTGATAAGGTTCGCAGCTGATCCGGGTCTCTCTGCGAGGTAGCCCGGTTCTGTGGGAGCCCTGCTGGCCCGTGACATCCGGAAGGGCCAAGATCCGGTGCCGAGTGTCTTCTCTTTGCATCCAACCCTGAGGCCAGCCAGGGGAGAATGGGAGGTCGGGCAGGCCCATGAGAGGCCGAACCAGCATGTGGCTGTGACAGGCGTCCGCAGGCAGAAGATGGAGGCTGCCTGCTAGGAAAGTCGGGGTAGAGAGAGGAGGGGATCTCCCAGCTCCTTGGGGTGAGGCGGGGAGGGGATCTAATGATCGCTGTAGAGCTCTGGCAGCAGGACGTTGCCCGCTCCCCACTGGGCCCTGAGCAGTGAACATGGCACTAGCATTGGCGAGGGGTGGGAGCCTGCAGCCTCATCTGAGCCAGCCCGCGAAGGGAGTGAGGAGCCGTCCATGGGGAAAGCGTCCTGAGAGAGGCAAAGCCCCGTGCAGCTTGGGCAGCTGGGAGAGCTTCGGTCCACCCGCCCCTGCAGGCATCAGAGCAATCACTGAAGCCTCTTGTACAGGTTGCATCTAACCGGGCAGGGGGAGTCTTGGGGTGACGGCTGCCTGTGCTCGTGCCCTAGGAACGAAGTCCTGTGGGGAGCTCCCCGGGCTGGGAGCAGAGCGCTGGATCCTGGCCAACCCCATGCAGGACTTTGTGGGGCGGCAGGAGGACCGGTCCCACCAGGTGTTCCACCACTACCGGAAGACGTTCAAGAAGAGTTACGACGGCGAGCAGGAGATGGAGCACAGGCAGCACACCTTCACCCACAACATGAGGTACGGGGCTGCCCGGGGGCAGCGGGGGCTCCGGGGTCACGGAGGAGGAGAGAGCTGGTGCATCGTGCGCTGAAGGAAACGGCATCTCTGCTGGGTCAGGGAGGCCGGAGGGTTCCCCCGGAGAGCTGGCTCTGCCTTGGCTGCTGGCAGAACGGACCGTCCTGAGCTGGCCTTGAACGTGATGGAGAACGGCCTGTCCACATGGGCCTCAGTCGGCAGCACCTGGGCTAGCAGTGGACTCTAGATGGTGGCTGGAGAATGGAGTCCGAGGCTTCTCCCCCGCAGGGCCTGGGGGCACGTCCCCACTGCAGGCAGCTCGCGGGGACACCCCCAAGCTAAGCTCTCCTCCGGCTAGCTCAAAGCTAGCTCCAGCAGCGTCCAGCAGGGTGGTGAGACGCGCCGGCCGCTCGAGTGCGTGCCCGGCGTCCTCGCGGCCGGGGCTGCAGCCTGGAGGCCAGCGCGGGTCACCGCCCGTGCGCTGCGACTGTTCCTGGAGCTACCTTTGATCTAGCTCCAGCAGCGCTCCCTTGGGTCTGCCTCCAGGAGCTGCAATCTCAGCTCCCCGGGGTATGTCTACGCTGCAAGCGGGAGCTGGTCTGTTGGCTTCCTTTCAGGCTGGCATCACTTGGTTCCCCCTGTCCCCAACACACAGAGCCCTCCCGGGTCACAGCCTGCGTGCACCGGGCATCCCCCGAAGCCGCCTGGCTGCCCTTCAAGGCTGCAGCAGCGCTCTAAGGGTTAATCTGTTTGCTGCGCAGGGGAGCACGCTGTGGGTGCGCCCAGTGGGTAGGGATTCCTTCGCCAGGGCTGTAGAGCGGCGGCAGGAGCTCTCTATGCCCGGTGGGCAGAGCAGTGCCCAGAAGCCAGAGCTGCCCGGCTCCCTCTCTCTTCACGGCATCCATCCCCTCCCAGGTTTGTCCACTCCAAGAATCGGGCCAACTTGTCCTACAAGCTGGCGCTGAACCACCTGGCCGACCGCACCCCGGAGGAGATGGCCGTGCTGCGGGGACGGCTAAAAAGCGGGGCCCCCAACAACGGACAGCCGTTCCCGTCGGAGCTGTACACTGGCCTCATCCTGCCCGAGATCCTGGACTGGAGGCTGTACGGTGAGTGGCTTGTTACGGGGCCGCTTCTGGGCAGAAAGCTCCGTCCGGCTGGAGCATCTCCTCCCGCCTCCCTTTCCCCACCCCATTGGCACAGGGACCCCACTGCTGCTCATAGGGCTCGAACCCGCGAGGGGCTGTGGACACTACCAAACTTTTGAGCAATTGGTTGCTTCCGTGTTTGGGTGCCCAATGTGGGACCCCGAGGGTTGATATGGCCTGGGTGCGGAGCACCCCCGCCCCCTCCCGCTGCTGGGGAAGTCAACAGGAGCTGGAATGGCACAGCGCTGTCTGGAAGCTTGGCCTGATGGGTCGCGAGTTGAGACTCCAAAAATCAGAAAAAACCAACAACAGGGCGCTTCTGAGGGCGTCGGCCTTACGGGCTGGATTGGTTGGCATCCCACTGTTACCCAGACATCCGTGCAGCGCTGTTCGGGCAAACCCCGGGAGAGACAAGCAGGCTGGCCCAGGGCTGGCACCAGACTGAATGCCTCAGGGAGGGATTAATGGGGAACGAATGATGCCAAAGCTGGTCTTACTGCAGTAGTGCTGCCATCCAGAAGCTGCAGCCCCATTAGCTGAACAGACTCGGGGGTCATTTTTCAGCCTGGTGAGTGACCCTGTGATCCATTCATAGAATCATAGAATCTCAGGGTTGGAAGGGACCTCAGGAGGTCATCTAGTCCAACCCCCGGCTCAAAGCAGGACCAATCCCCAACTAAATCATCCTGGCCAGGGCTTTGTCAAGCCTGACCTTAAAGACCTCTAAGGAAGGAGATTCCACCACCTCCCTAGGTAACCCATTCCAGTGCTTCAGCACCCTCCTAGTGAAAAAGTTTTTCCTAATATCCAACCTAGACCTCCCCCACTGCAACTTGAGACCATTACTCCTTGTTCTGTCATCTGGTACCACTGAGAACAGTCTAGATCCATCCCCTTTGGAAGCAGCTATCAAATCCCCCCTCATTCTTCTCTTCTGCAGACTAAACAATCCCAGTTCCCTCAGCCTCTCCTCATAAGTCATGTGCTCCAGCCCCCTAATCATTTTTGTTGCCCTCTGCTGGACTCTTTCCAATTTTTCCACATCCTCCTTGTAGCGTGGAGCCCAAAACTGGACACAGTACTCCAGATGAGGCCTCACCAATGCCGAATAGAGGGGAATGATCATGTCCCTCGATCTGCTGGCAATGCCCCTACTTATACAGCCCAAAATGCCGTTAGCCTTCTTGGCAACAAGGGCACACTGTTGATTCATATTTAAGTTTCTCATAAATGAGCGGGGCTTGGGGGCTTGTGGTTCACCTAGGCAGCAAGTGACAAGGCTTCTGCTCCCATCACAGACTCCCCAGGTGACCGTGGGCAAGTCACCGAGGCTCTGCCTCAGTTTCCCCATCTGTAAAGTGGAGCTGGTGATACTTCCCTGCCACACAGGGCCGTGCGAGACCTAATTCATGGCTGCTAGTTAGTGCGTGGAGATCTCTGGCGGGAGAGGAGGGCTCTGCCAGCACCCAGGCCAGGGAAGCACCAGACCCAAGAAGCTAAAACTCCCGTCTCCAGCACTCTACGCCCTGCATTACAGGGGAACGTTGGTAGCTCTTGGGCAGCGAGGGAGGGAGCCAGGCAGAGAGGGTGGATTAGAGCTCCCCAAATGGAGATTCCTGGCGGCACCTGGCCAATATGTCTCAGTCCCTGACCCCTCGCTCGCTCCCTTCCTCCCCAGGCGCGGTGACCCCAGTGAAGGACCAGGCCGTGTGCGGCTCCTGCTGGAGCTTTGCTGCCACCGGGGCGATGGAAGGTGCCCTGTTCCTCAAGGTGAGAGCCCGCCCGCCTCCCGGTGAGGAGATTGCCTGCTCTGCTGAGGGCACAAGCTGCGTGCCTACGTGTCACGGGCAGCCCCGCTGGCTCCCCAGGGGGACGGCGTGGCCACACCAGAGAATGCTGGGCAGCCCCGGAACAAGGGGGGGGGGATTGGGGACGCTCCAGCAGCTGGAGGGGTGGGAACGGTCTTTGTGCTGAATTAGGAAGATCCAGGGATATTGTGGTGACCCCCCTGCATAGGCCCAGCCGTAGCTCAAGCCTGGCTGGAGGTGGGGATGGCGGAGCTGGGAACACCCCCTCTAGGCTCGTCGCTCCTGAGCCAGCCACCTGGCTGTGGCTTTGCAGCTGAGGACCTGGGTTTCCTCCCTCCCCAGACCGGAGTGGTGACCCCGCTGTCCCAGCAAGTCCTGATCGACTGCTCCTGGGGCTTCGGGAACTACGGCTGCGACGGCGGCGAGGAGTGGAGCGCGTACGAGTGGATCAAGAAGCACGGAGGCATCGCCAGCACCGATTCCTATGGCCCGTACAAAGGCCAGGTGAGCGCAGCGCCCTCCGGCTCAGCTGCCAGAGGTGCCCGTGGAGCGGCTCCATTGGCACGGGAGCTCTGGTCCCACTCAACCTCCCCGGTGTGTTCCAGGTCTGTGAGCCAAAAGCAGGTTGCCACGAAGGGGGAGCTTCTGCCTCCAGCAGGGCTGAGACCTCTAGGGGCTTTGGGGCTCTATCCCATGGGGCCGCTCCAGCGACCCCGCTTAGAGTCAGTGACCAGGGTGCAGCATCCACATGGGAAGCAGCCACTGGGACTGCCGACAACATGCCCTTGCTGGTCCCAATTACAGTTGCATGGCCCTGGTAAAGCACTAGCCTGGGACTTGGAAGACCTGACAAGTCACTTTCCTCGCTCTGTGCCTCAGTTTCCCTGGCTGTGCAATGGGGGTGAGCCTCCCTTGCCTATCGGAGGTGTTGGGGGAAGGCACTTGGGCACAGTGCTGATTGGGGTCACAGAAAGGAAATAGGGGCATTAAAGCGTAGACTGGACACGCCAGCAGCCAGAGACGCTGATGGCTTCCTCTGAGCCCAGGGGTGTCCGCACGTTGGTCTGACCAGCCGAGGTGCCCCCCCCCTGCTCCTGGGGCCGCCGGCCTGGCTCGCGCGTGCAGGGGTGGAGGAGAGTGGCTGTCATCTCCTTTGTCTGTGTCGCAGAACGGCTTGTGCCACTACAACAAGTCCGAGCTGGTGGGCAAAATGAAAGGCTACGTCAACGTCACCTCGGGTAACATCACGGCCCTGAAAGCCGCCATCTACAAGAACGGCCCCGTGGCCGTCAGCATCGACGCCTCCCGGCGGTCCTTCTCCTTCTACTCCAACGGCGTCTACTATGAACCCAAGTGTGGTGAGTGCGGCCGTTCCCGGCCGATCGGCTCCTGGGATGGCTTTGGCTGGTCCTGGGCAATTGGCTTCTGGTGGCCAAGTCCAGCAATCCTGGGACGCTACCACACAATGACTCCACCGGCAGCCTGGAGCCCCTGTGGCTTGACGAGGGCATTGCAGGGGATGTGACGCTAGGGGGCAGCCGCGTCTCCTTTCCCAGCTGCATACATTCAGACCAGACAAACAAGCCAGTTCAGCAAGATGTGGGGGGTTCCCTTGGGGCGGGGGAGGCTTTGATGAAAGGAAACTAAACCGGAGGAACCCCTGGCTCGGAGGAGGATGATATTGCCACACGGCAGGGCTTCACCAGAGCCACAAGCTGGCTGGGAGAGTTACAGGTTCAGTCTCCGAAAGGAGCATCTGGAATAAAACCCAACGGATTTGCCGCCTGCTTACCAGGCTGCAGAACGGCATCTGTGAAGCTTGGCGCCACTGTTCAGGATCCTGCCGCTGACTCTCGGGCCAGAAACGGCTCACGAGGAGCGGGGTAGAAGCCAGGGCACTGGATGGGGAGCCAGGACTCCTGGTTTCTAGTCCCAGCTCTGCTGTTCATTTGCTAGGTGATTTGGGGCTAGTTACGGAAACCCGGTGCCTCGGTTGACCTGGGGGGATAACAACACTTATCCACTGCTGCAAAGTGCTTTGAGACGTGTGGATGAGAAGCGAGGCCCTGGTTCTGTCACTAATGAGCTGGCTAGCGGGGCAGCGCCGTCGGCTCATATCTATTTTGGCCCCTCTAGGTAACCAGAGAGGTGACTTGGACCATGCGGTCTTGGCTGTCGGCTACGGTGTGCTCCAAGGGGAGCTGTACTGGCTGGTGAAGAACTCCTGGTCCACCTACTGGGGTAACGACGGCTACATCCTCATGTCCATGAAAGACAACAACTGCGGGGTAGCCACGGACGCCACCTACCCCATCCTGGAGTGACCCCCGGCGCCAAACCAGGCTGGGCTCACCTACACCATCCTCGCCCCACCCACAAGGGTCACCGGGCCTGGGCTGTTGCTTTGCAGGCCGGTGTGGATTTCATCCTAGCAGAGACACCCGCTGGAGAAGCGAATGTATACGGTCCTCCTGCCTCAGCCCTCGTCGGGAGCAAAGCAGTTCCTCGGAACCTCGCGGATCCGAGTGAAAGGGAAAGCAGCCGCTCAGGGGGAGGATGGTGGGAACATACCATAGCAATCAAGGGGGGTGTGGTAATTTGGGGAGGGGGAGAGGTGTGAAAAAGGGGGCTGCCTGTACTGTCCCCCTAGGATGGCCGCCTGGCTACCGAGCAGCCCAAAGAAGCCCACGGGGACGCAGCGGAAGTTGCTCACGCCGCTGCTGGCAATAAAGTCCCTGGGAAAGTGCTCTCTCTCTTTTAAACCAGCTGGGGGAATTAAAGTGCACTTGCTTCACAAAGCGGTTTTGGCTTCACGCTGCTCTGTGCGCGCTCCCGACCATTGCCATCGGGGCAGGACACCCCGTGCACGCTGTCCCGGCCCCTCCCCTAAGCCATCAGGTCATATTCCTCTTCACCCCCCCCCAAAGCAATCCTCCTTCTCCCTCAGTACCTGGCAGCGGTGGCTCCCCTGCACTGCAGCTGCTCTCTTGGTGCTGGCATAGCCCCCGGGGGCACGCAGGGGTCCTCACTGCTGTAGGGGTGGCTTCCTGCCAGTGCTGGGAACCCCACTTGCTCTGAGAATGGCCAGGCCAGGGGCAGCTGCCTCCAGTTAGCAGCTGATCTTCATTTCCTCCCTGGGGCCAGCCAGCCAGCGAGCTCAGACCTTCTGCCCAGCCAGCCGGCGCTAAGGCCCCTCCCTGCCAGGCCCAGGTGGAGCTCACGGCTGGGCAGCATGGGTGCCCCTCCCTGCTGCCAAGCCACGGTGGGAAGTCTCCAAGTGCCACCCGTTCATATGGGGCCCAGCCCCACCAGCCTGCTGTGGGCTTCCCTCCTCTAGGCTGGCAGCCGGGGTTTGAACAGTGCCTTTCCCCCGCGGAGAGAGGAGGCAGCGGGAGGCGGGGCAGACTCAAGTTGCCCCAGTGCGTGTGGTGAGCAGCTGCCCCTTTCCCTGGAGCTGAGCTCCCATCCCAGGGCAGCTCCAACGAGGCCTCCCCAGCCTGGGCTGGGAGAGCAGACCCAGCTGTGGCCTTCGGCCTGGCAAACCGGCTTCATCCCTCCAAGGCTTAGAGGGAGGGTGTCCTAGGAGAACCGGGGACCGCTGCCTGTGGAGGGCAGATGTGGGATCATGTGATGGCCCCAACGCTGACAGCGGAAGGGGAACCAAACCTCGCGTTTCAGGGCTGGAGCCGGCTTCTAGGTGATCGAGGTCAGGGAGGGACCTACTGTGGGGAGCAGGTTCTCCCACAGCTGCTGCTCCGCGGTTCTTACACCTTCCTCTGAGGGGCTGGCCCCTGCCTGAGACCGAATCCTGGCCTGGGAGGGCCTAGAGGCTGATCCAGCAGGGTGGGTCCGCCAGGCCTCACTAGGCCTGCAAACAGCCCCTGAGGAGCTGACCAGACTCTCAGGGCTCGTCTTCACTGCCGTGCACGTGGGTGTCACCCCTAACTTGAGTCCTGTCCACGCACGAGAACCCACCCTCTGGGGGTGTGGCTACAGCTCGTGTTAGCACGACGCCCCAGCGGCTCACACATGCGCTGCGTGGCCGCGCTCCCTGGCTTAGGCTGACCCAGGAGGAGTCCACGTGAGCGTGGATTGCCTGAGTTCGCTCTGCGGTGGAGAGCTAGCCGCTAGCTTGCTGCTTGGGCACGCTAAGAGCTAGCGTTGCCCCGTGGCTGCAGGGGAACCTGGCCGGGGGCGTTTGCATAAGGACCAGGACGCAGTCAGGAGGAGGCGGCTGCACCCAGCCCATTGTACGGGCCCCAGCAGGCAGGGGCCACGCCTTCAGCAAGCCTCAGGCCACAGCAAGGAGTGAGGTTCTGCTCCTGCATCAGTGCGGGAGCCAAGGCTCCGGCACCGTGGGAGGCTCGGAACCGTAGGACTGGGGCTTCTTCTTCCATATGGAAAAACAGGCTCTTCCAAAGCAGCGATGGGTGTGGCGGGGCTGCAGCAGCGGGCGATTGCGTGAGCTCCACCCAGCCGTGTGCTGGCGTTGGCCTGGTGCGTTGCTCGCCTACCCGCCAGGACTCTGCAGCCCAGTTCTGCGTTGCTGTGGGAGGTGTGGGGGGGTCACACCAGGCAGCTGCAGCAGTCCCATTGCCGGAGCTGCGACAGTGGCTTGCAGGGATCGCATGAGACCATCAGAGCAAGAAGCCCAGGTGAGACCGGCCCAGGCCTGTGTGCTGCCTCCAGCGCTGAGCGGAGGCTCAATGCGCCTAGTGTAATAAAGCCCCGAGCCCAGCAGCTCCGGTACTACCATGGCGACAGAGGGTCGCTAAGTAACAGACACAGCAGGCACCGGGTCTTTGCCATTGCCGTGCCAGAGACTAGCACGACACGCCCGGCGTGCTGACCCCGGGAGCGCTGGGTCAGAGCCAGCCAGCTGGAGTGGTGGCCGGACGCGGGATGTGAGCAGGAAGGCAGGACTTCTGGAAGTGGCTTCCCCCTGGCCAGAGTCACCTCCGTGGGGAAACTCGTGAGCTGGACAATGCTCGTGGGTTGCACCCTGGGGTTTGTGGTCCGTGCTGTGTAGGGTGCCAGGCTGAGAGCTTTGCACTCCTGCGAGTCACCCCAAGGACTGCGAGCGAGGTGGACTCCTCCAAACATCATCCCCTAGCCCCCTGCATCCCACTAGCTGAGGGAGCTGTGTCCAGTGAGGGATTCCTAGCAGAACCAGAACTGACCTCGCCTAGGACGTGATGCTGCTGCCGGACGGGGGATCCCAAAGCGTGGAAGGACCGTTCCCTAGGCTGGGCTCCCAGCTGTGACTGCTCACTGGAAGGCTGCCTGGGGAAACCGTGCCGAGAGAGACCACGGAGTTCGCTGGCCTGCACAAGGTAGCTAGCCAGGGCCCACGGGGGAAGGGGGTGGCTGCAGGGCGCCCAGCTCAGAAGAAAACAAGAGGCTCAGAGGCTGCATAGCTGAGGATGTGGAAAGCAGCCGAACTCCCAGGTCCCACAGAAAGGGCAGGGGTGCGCCGGGCTGGCAAACCCGTGTGCTGTGCCCCATCGGATCCCGCATGTTCAGCAGCAACTGGCTGAGTCAGTGCTTGGCTGGGAGACCGTCAAGGCCCACTCAGCCCACTGCAGGGGTGGGTGCCGGTCACTCCCTTCTCTGAGTCACTGCGGCATGTCACAGTTCAGGGCCACTGCACCTGGATTCCCAGTCCCTGGTCCCCTCATCCAGCCCCTGCACTGCTGGAAGAAGGAGCCTTCCTATCTCTGGAGGCTACGCTGTCTCCCCTGGCAGCGACGTGTGCACCCCAACAGGACGGAGCGGCTAGCAGCCCCATGTCAGTGCTGACCCTCCCCTCAGACACAAAGAGCACGACCCCTCTGGGCAGCCTCCCTAGCTCATCACGGAGGAAGCCGGACGTTTTGGCAGCTGGGTCCGGAGCAGTTGGAGATTTCTGGTCCCCGGGGAGACGTAGGGGGACAGTTTGGGATCAAGGGGTAAGGCACATTAGCTGGACTCTTTGGCTCGGATGATCAGCAGGGAGATAAATAACAATGCTGATGTTTAAAGGAACATCACTAGGGTTCAGAGTTAACAACTAACTGAGAAGAACAGGGCAGTTCTCACACAACAGAACTCTCATTTCAGGCTCCCTGCAGACTCAGGAAGACGACGACGCAGCCGTTAGACTCTGTTTGCGTCTACGATTTTCTTCACAACCACGGGGGCTGGCATGATCCTTCTCTCTTTTACGCAAGAGCGGAGGCTCGGGAGCAGAGTCCCACAGCACAGAGGGGATCTGCAGCTGCGGGAATCCAGGTGGCCTGGCTTACAAGAGGGGTCATTTATGCTTTCCCTTGTGACCACACCGGCCTAGCTGGGTTCCCCACCCCACTCCATTATTGGGGGAGCCCAGCAAACAGACAACCCTCCAAAGACCAGAATACTTTGTGCCTTTACCAGCGAGTTTATTGACAGGACCAGAATCAGTCGCATCAGCTGTTTCTCTTTGCCAGCTGCAGGCCTGGGAGTTGCCCTAGTTACTGTAACTCACCAGATTGCTAGCCAACTACAGGGAGAGAGGGGAAGAGGGGCCGGAGCACCATCCAGAGAACCCCTCCTTTCAGTTTCCTGCCGGAGCTAGGGCTCCCCCCACCCACAGCAGCTGGTCTGACTTCTCCGGTGCCAGGAACACTCCCTACCTAAAGCATTGCAAAGCTCCGCAAAGGGCTCTTCGCATGTGGGTGCTGCAACCAGGAGGGGAGCTTGCCACACCTGTAGGCAGAGCCCAGCTAGCTTTGATTTAGCTAGATCAAAGCCAGCTTGAGTAACAGCAGCCGCGTGGGCGGCGGCACAGGCTAGCTGCTGGAGTCAGCACCCAGGGAGGGGACTCGGGAGGCTGCCGTGGCGACACTGGCGGTGTTACTCGAGCCAGCTTTGATCTCGCTAGATCAAGGCTCGCCGAGACTGCGGCTAGCTAGATCCAACTTCGCTCGGGTCTGCCGACCTGGGCTTGCAGTCACACCTCGTATTGCAGCACACCCTGGGCTGGGCTGAAATCCGCCCCAGCGAGAGGAGACCCTAGTTGCCCTCAGCTCCCATTTGGCTTCCCTGGGATTTCAGGGCACTCAGCATGAACCAGCAAGTGCCTAGGCCATGCAGCATCAGGCGCTAAAGCAGCCCGGCTTGGTCCCGTCCAGAGCACAAGCAAGCGCAGATAACGCGCAGACTGCTAAGGACCAGCATCCCGAGGCCAGCGCGCTTCCCTCTGACCCAGGAGCGGCTGGAGATCAGGCCAGGACGGGGTACGTTGCCGCGGTCGCCACCCCGCAGTTGTTGTCCTGCATGGACAGGAGGATGTAGCCGTCGTTACCCCAGAAGGTGGACCAGGAGTTTTTGATGAGCCAATAGCTCTCCTCTTGCAGGACCCCGTAGCCCACGGCCAGCACCGCGTGGTTCAAGCTCCTGCTGGTATTCCCTACGGCCGAGAGGAAAGGAGATGAGCAAAGGGGCTTCTTGTGCTGCTCTTAACCCCGCTGCGGTTACCCTCCCCCCCAGCATCTGGGCTCTTGCATTCCCAGGAGGCCAAAAGACAAGTCTCACGCAGAGAAACAGCCTCAGCCAGCCCGCCACAGCAACCCTGGAGTGATCCGTGGGGGCAGATCCATGGATACTAAGGCCCATAGAGACCATTACGCCCATCTAGTCTGACCTCCCGCCTAATCCACCCCAGCGTGCCCCACTGAATCGTTTCTGCATCGGATGCCGCGGGTTGGGACTCTCCCGAGACGTAGCTTCCTCCCCGGTGTGAATCAAATGCCCTCCTGCAGGCAGCTTGGAGAGTTGTACAGTCAGGTCTATTTTGCATGGGGCTGTGCCAAGAGGGAGGGGCAGTATCGGCCGCCCGGCTAGCCTTGTTCTGCCAGGGAAGTTATTTGGGGCACCTAGGATGGACTGTGATTGCCCCCTGGTGGCGGAGCCCGGGCAAAGCTCTTGCAAAGCTCTTAGCACAGGGGGGTGGCGCATTGCATTGGAAGACCCCCGAGGATTGCTCCAGTTATCCGGGATTCGTCAAGCCGGAGAAGGCAACACCTTTCTAAGAGCTGTCGTTGGGGAGGTGCGTGATTGGAGGCAGAAGGGAGGCAGGAATGCTGGGGTGCCACCGTGACCGAAAGCACCGCTGTATTCCCCACCCGCCCCGACACACCGTTGTGATCGTCTTTATACCGGATATGCCTTGTGAGGTCTCATTTGAAAACTAACAACTTGCTGGTCAATAACATTCTGGTGAAAGATACGCAGCAACATTCTATGTAAAGTTATGAATTCCCCCTGCACGATGTTAGCGTACGGTCAAACCCCCACAGCCCTCCCTAGGCAAGAGTTGTTAAGCAGGTCTGGCCTAAACAAAGCAACGTGGGTTCACCGCCGTTTACATGTAAGTAGTAAACAGGGTCGGGGGGCTGGAGACATAGCAAGTCTGCATTTCAGCATGCACAGGGGAGAAGGAGCCACCTTCACCAGCAGATCCCATGTCACCTTCTTTACTGTGTGAATAAATGTGGCTTTGAGGGGGAAATCTCAGAAGAATCTACTCCAAATGGTGAGTGGATTGCAAAAGTGAAGGGCAAAACCACCCAAGGGATTTCTCCCTCTCTCACACACATCTGAGACGACAAAGGAACCGGCCGGGGGAGATCCTGACCTGAGAATTTGGGCAGCATTGTCGCTGGGAACCTGTCGTGAGGATTTTACCTTGACCCAAGCCTCGCTGGTGAAGTTTTAGCTGCCAGAAAGTGTTTTAGCTTTATTTCTCTCTCAACCATGTCTGACTTTCATACCTTAGCCTTGCGCTCACTCAAAACCTCCCTCTTTGTAGTTAAATAAACGTGTTTTATTTTTAAACTAAACTAATCCAGGGCTGTGTTTAAACCAAACTGTTTGGTAACTAGGGTTAAAGTAGCAAATTGTTGAATATTGACCCCTTGGGGACTGGTAATAGCTGAACTGTCCAGGAAAGGGCTGGGCAGCGCAGAACACACGTTTGGGGGAAAACCTGGGACTGGGAGTGTGTTGGGGTCAACCTGTGAGCAGTAACCCAGGCTGGTGGAAGCCGGAGCGTGGCTGGAGTGTTGCTGACAGGCTGCCGGGCTCAGAGTAGCTGGACCACCGCTGCAGCCGTACACAGACATTCAGTCTGTTTGTCAGCAGCCCTGGTTGGGAGCTACCACCCCAACGTTGCGGGGCAGGTGGTGACGCAACCCCTCACGGGGCTGGATTGCACCCCTGAACGAGACACCCAGCCCTTGGATTTCTAGGGTCTCTGCTGCCTCCCTTCAATACACCTTTGGAGTCTGTGGAAGTGATCAGGGGCCAGCCCGGCTGGGCGCTCTTCAACCTGGGGAATGTCCTGCCATGCACAGAGGTGGCTCTGTACAGTTGCACTAGGAACCAGCACCCCCAGGCTGGCAGCCACGTGCGGCCCCCTGATGATTTTCCCGGCGGCACTGGGAGAGGGAGGGGGTGCCCGAGTACAGAGAGCAGCGTGACGCACTAGAGCCCACCCGGCCCGCGGTGCTGGAGCCAGCAGAGAAACCCTCAATGGAACAGAACAGCCTGGGACTCTCCTGGCCCATGGGGGTGCACGGCCACCCTGTCTCCTGAGCAATCTGGGATCCAGCAGCGCCTGGCAAAAGATCACCATGACACAGCCTCCCCTGCTAGCCATGCAATCTCGTCCCACCGGGAGCGCCACGCGGCTGGCAGGGCTGGACTCACCACACTGGGGATCGTAGTAGATGCCGTTGGAGTAAAAGATGAACGACTTGAGGGAGGCGTCGATGCTGACGGCCACGGGGCCGTTCTTGAAGACGGCGGCTCTCAGGGCAGTGACGTTGACGTAGCCCGTGATGTTGGCAAGGAGCTCAGTAGAGTTGTAGTGGCAGTATCCGTTCTAGGAGGCAGGCGGGACACGGGAGTTTAACAGCAGTAGGGTTTGAGTGTCCCCGTCCAGCCAGAATGCTCACAGAGCAACCCCCATCCACCCCCTCACTGCAGCCAAGCCTGGATAAGAGCCAGAGGATGCCAGCTGATCCGCGACACGCCACCAGCTCAGACCCAGCCAGCCAGTAAACTCAGCCCTCTCCTGCCTGCTCAGCCCAGGGAGAACCAGCAGCGGTTCTGGCAGCTGGGCCAGGCCATTAGTGGGACACTCCACGAGGCAAGGAGAAGGGTTCGGTGCATCTGTTAAGCTCTGGCAGAGCTGGGACATGGGTGGTCTGGCCTAGCAGGTAGGACCAGGAGGAAGGCTTGGTGGGAGTCAGGGCTCAAGCCAGGGGTCAGAACCAGAGTCAGGAGTGTAGGCAGGGATTGCAGGCGGAGTTAAGGATCAGGAGCCAAGCCAGGAATCAGAGCCAAGGTCCAAATCAGGGACCAGAGCAGGGCCTGTGGTGGCAATAAGCCACATGCTGCCAAGCTGCACGGACAGCTTCCTGGAACGCCCTCCATGCTTAAATAGTGCCCGTGGACCAGTCAGAAGCGCTGCAATCGGGTCTGCGCGGGCGGCACTTCCTGTGGTGCGTATTCTCCCAGGGTTTATTCATTGCAACGCCGCGGAGAGCCGCACCAATCCCCCGGCACTCTGCAGACCTGGGTTCTAGCCTTCCGGAGCCTTACAAGTCCCCTCTCATCATTTAACGAAAACCCCTCGGGGGCCAGGCGCTGCAGAGGGGCTGTACCGAGGGTTGCAGCACTAAATGGGAAGCGTGGAGAAGAAACACTCGTGGGACTCAGAGCTGAGTGGAGCAGGTAGGTTTGCTTGGATCTGAGATTTCTGTAACGGACGAGAATTCTGCAGCGAGGGGAGATTTCAGGATCTTCAGCCGCAATTGCCTGCCTATCCGTTCCTGCACGGGTTTTATACCACTGCCCGTCGCTGTGGTATCGGAGCATCTTCCATGTAAAATCAAAGCCCCGGCGCATTGTCTAAAACTGGTTATAATGTCAAGGATTGGAGGTAGGAGAACATAGCTAGTAAGTTGCATCACGACGGAGTGGGGTCCCTGGAACGTTAGCCAGACTGGCCCTGCAGCCCCCCTCTCCTCCTGCAGCCCCAGCGCTGGGTGGCCCATCCACTCCACAGATACCTTCAGAATTCAGACCGCTCGTTCTGGACCACATCCTGCCTTCACTGAAATCAACGATAAATCTCCCGTTGGCTTCAGTGGTGCAGGATCCACAAGGAGCACCAGGAAATTCAGCCACCAGGAGTCCGTTCAAGCTAGATGTTGACTGGCCTCATCGCCTGCTATCCCAGTGCCCAGCCTGGGCTCTGGGCGCTGGTATCCGCCCAGAGGTATGAACCTCTGCCTGACCCTGCTAATATCTAGGGTATGCTGGAGACTCATCTCATGCCAGGGCCCTGCACGGTGCGTGGAGGGATGGATTTTGCCTCTTCTGGCCGCGTCAGGGCACTAGAGGCTGGCAAACGGAGGCTCACGATATCCGTTGTCTGGCGTCAGGGGAGGAGCCAGGACCATACCTGAGACTCACCAGCTACACAATAGACATGCTGTGGGGCGGGGGGGAGGGGGAATCAGCTGCTCCCAGGATCCCATCCCAGGCCACTTCCATCTTTGCTGGGCCCTGCACCAAGTTCTCCCATCAGCAGCCCCAGCCCTTTGCCAAGGGAGCCCACAGGGTTCCCCGGGGCTCTCGGCGTCACATCCCCCCTCGGCCCAAGGTCACGCTGCACGAGCAGGTCAAACAAGTTATCTCTGCGGCTCCCCTAGCAGGTGCCTAGAAGAGCAGCCCGACTCACCTGGCCCCTGTATGGCCCGTAGGCCTCGGCGCTCGGTATGCCACCGTGCTTCTTGACCCATTTAAAGGCCCGCCAAGGGAGGCCGCCGTCGCAGCCGTGGTTCCCGAAGCCCCAGGAGCAGTCGATCAGGGCTTGCTGAGACAGGAGGGTCAGGCCTCCGGTCTGGGGAGGAGAGGAGGGCAGGGTCGGGCACAGAGAACTCAAACTTTAACTTCACCATCCCCTTTACGTCAAGGCTGACACATCACACACAGGCTCACCAAGACCACGTCCAGGGAGATACTACATCTCCCCTTCCATGCTCTGGGAACCACTCTTCCTCCATCCCCGGGCTGGGATACATGGACCGCGGGAGCTGTGTCTCGGGTGAGCATCATCTGGTCAGCGATGCCGGTGCGGCCAGCCAGAACTGCTCAAACTGGGGAGCACCTGGGGCAGGACTCCAGGCAGAGTTACAGCCATGGGGCTGAGAGCAGGGACTCTCCAGTCAGTAGCAGAGACTAATCTGCTCTGGAGGCCGCGTCTTGTGGTTAAGGCACTGGCCGGGCCCACAGGGGGTCTGGGTTTGATGCCTGGCTCGTTGTGTGGCCCTGGAAGTCACTTCATCTCTCTGTATCCACTTCCCCACCTGTTCCATGGGGATAGCGATACCAACCTTCTCCTACCCTCTGCCTTGTCTCTGCAGAGTGTAAGCTGTTCCGGGCAGAGGCTGTCTCTGACTGTGTGTGCGTACAGCTCCCAGCACAACGGGGCCGTGATCTCAGCCGCGGCATCTCGGGGCTACCACAATACATATGAGAGTTGAAAGACCCACAATGGGGGGTGTCTTGGCTGCTCCACCCTGTGGTGTGATCCCTGCTCGGGTGTGACGAGGAGGCAGCCGGGTTGTTACCTTGAGGAACAGGGCACCTTCTAATCCTCCTGTAGCAGCAAAGCTCCAGCAGGAGCCACACAGAGCTTGGTCCTTCACTGGGGTCACCGCGCCTGGGGGAGAGAATGAGAAATGAGCCCCGTGCAGTAGAGAACTCAGATCTTCCACATTTCAGCTCTCTGATCTCCCTGGCCCCTGAACGCCTGGAGTCACCAGCCACGTGGCCTCTTTACCACGAGATGACCGTTCTTCACCCCCCTTTTCCCCTGGCAATTGCCACTCGCCCTGCTCCCCCAGCCCAGGTGCCTCGACACCCTGAAGACATGCAACATGAAGAGCAAGCGGAAAACTTTTGGGTCATCTCGCCGGAGAGCAGAGGCCCACGCAGGTGACTCGGTGGGTCATGAGCATGAAGGAGGAGTCCAGTTTCCATCACGCTCCTGGTACCAAGCTATCACTCGCCCTGCTGGAGTCGGGGTTATTCGAGTGGGAGGCCAAAGTCAGAGAGGAGTCTAAGCTGGCGTCGATTACACCGTCCGGCCCCCTCAGTGCGGGAGTGACGACTCGGGATACATCGACCCTGGAGCTGGAGGGGTCATTTCCACCTCCGGGAGACACACCCACGCTAGCTTGGATCCAGCTAACCTGCCATCTCTCCCCAGCCCAGCCAGCGCTGGTTAGTCTGACGCCGTCATGGGAATGGACTGAAAGGGCCCCCCCAGCCTGTCTCTTCTCCCCTCCGCGCTGACCTGGGAATTCGCCCTACTATTCCTCAGTGTTGGGAGCTGGGAGCGATGCTCGACACTGCCCCCCTCTGTCGAGTTACGGTAAAACAACTCGTGCCAGGAGTAGCCCTACACCAGGGTCGCCATCTCCAGAGCAACCCCCAGCTGGGATGGCCCTGCAGGCACCCTGCCCTCAACTCCCTCCGGGCTCTCTGCATTAACTGACTCCCGGAGCCGAGCGCTGAGCACTGCCTCCCCCTTTCGTGGGCTCTGATTTACTACCCTCGGGAGCCCCACAAGCCCCACCCTTCTTCTCCCCAGTCCTCCTCTCTGGGGCGGTGCTGGTTCAGGCCAGCGGCAGCCTACAGTAGCTCCTCCTAGCTGGGCCCCTCTTCGCTTAGCCCGGGGGTTCTCAAACTGGGGGTCGTGAGGTTATTTCGTGGAGGGTCACGAGCTGTCAGCCTCCCCCCCCTCCCCGAACCCTGCTTTGCAGCCAGCATTTATAATAGTGTTAAATATATTAAAAGTGTTTTTAATTTATAAGGGGGGGGTCACACTCAGGGGCTTGCTGTGTGAAAGGGGGCACCAGTACAAAAGTTTGAGACCCACTGGCTTAGCTTCTTCCTCTCAGCAGGCAGGCAGCCCTGCTTCCCCAAGCTGGTGTCTCTCCCGCTGGGAAACAGAGGAGGCAGCAGATATCCTGCCTTCCTTCCCAGGGCTCATCCGGGCTGGCTGCGAGAGGGGAGCCCTGCCCATGTCCCTGTTTCCCTCCAAGGCTCCGGGTCCTGGGCCCTTAAAGAGACAGACTATTCCCCTGGGACCATCTTCCTCTCCTCCAGCACCTGCCTCGGCCTTTCCCTAGGGCTTCATCCACCCAAGGAGTCCCACGAACCCTAGAGGGACACGCCATGGAACAGGGCCCGACTGACCCCTAGCCCTTTGAAGGGAACAGTCCCCCTCTCCCAAGCTCCATCCAGGCCCCATCTAACAGGATGGCAGCTGAAAGGTGGGTCTGAAGCAGGAAGCTGCCCAAGGCTCTGGCAGGCCTAAGGGCTGCATTTCAGCCTCGCCTGGAGGCCGAGGGTGTCCCCCCCTTGTCAGGGGACTGCAGGAGAACAAGGACTTTGCAGCCAGTCGGGGAGTGAAGCAGCCCCAGGGATGTGTGGACAATGCGGACGCAGGTGGCCTTCCTCACCGTACAGCCTCCAGTCCAGGCTCTCAGGCAGGATGATGCCAGCGTACGGCGCCAGTGGGAAGGGCTGCCCGTTGTCGGGACTTTGGTCCTGCAGCCGCCCCCGCAGCACGGCCATCTCCTCCGGGGTGCGGTCGGCCAGGTGGTTCAGCACCAGCCTGTAGGGCAGGTTGGCCCGATTCTTGGAGTGGACGAACCTGGGAGGGGATGGATGATGTGAAGAGAGGGGGAGCCGCTGGTGGGCAGCCCTGGTGGACCCGGGCACATCCCTGCAGCAGCCCCTCACACACACGCTCTCAAATAACTGCAGTTTGGTGCTAGGTCACGTGACAGCCAGAGCACAGAGCAGTCATCTCCCAGGACATGCATCTCCTCCCCTCTCGCTAAGAAGCCAACAGCTGATTGATAGCTAGAAACTCAGGGCCTGATTCGCATTTACCCCCCATCTGCACTGCCAGAAGGGTGAATGGGGGGGCCCTTCATTCTAGTTAGGAGTGGGGAGCACGGGGCGGGGTGGGGGGCCCAGCTGTCTCTGGCCTTCTCAGTTCTCTGTGAGTTCTCAGAAGAAGCGACTCAGGGCAGAGGGGTGGAGTCCCGGAGAGCCGTCTTCTAACCCATCGAGGGCCGGGAGCAAGACGAGGTTTCCTGCGCTGGCATCGGCCCGACACTGACATTATGGGAAGGGGCCAGGATCAAATTCATCCCGTGTCGCTCGGGGCTGGGCCTGACTCTTCGGCACAGCCAGGCCGGGTCACGGGAACAAGGCTAATCTGGGATGACGCATTCCCCACCCCCTCCCTGAAAACCAGCCCAGGAGCCCGGCCGCCTCGCCCCGACATCCGAGCTCCCGCACCTCATGTTGTGAATGAAGGTTTGTGCCCTGCGCTCCAGCTCCTTCTCGCTGCCGTACTCCTTCCTGTACTCCCGCCGGTAGTGATGGAACAGCTGATGGCCTCGATCCGCCTGCCTGCCCACGAAATCCCACATGGGGTTGGCGAGGATCCGATGCTCCACTCCGTCTCCCGGAGGAAACTTGCACTCCATGTCTAGGACAGAGCCGGAGGTTACGGCACACGCCGGAAAGCCATTGCTCACAGACACCCGCCGGCAACCCCCCGGTCTCTGTACCGCCTCCTGCAGATCCCACAACCCAGCTGCATCTTCACCAGACCCCATAGCTTCATGCCACACCCCAGGACCCATCCCCAAGGAACATGGCTCCCCCAACGCCATGCACTGGTGTCTGATGAAGACGAGGACCGTACCCTGCTAGCACAGAGCCCTGCCCCGTTTCCCGCTGTAGTTTTTGCTAGCCAGGCGGTATCCCCTAGGCCAGGCACAGCAGAGCCTTCCTGGCAGGGCTAGGACATTGGCAGCTGGGCGAAGCACGTGCCTGTCAGAGCTGGGAATGAGAGTAGCTGCATATTCGAGCCAGTGGCTGCTTTCCGTGTCCTAGACAGGTGCAGCCCCGGGCCAAGAATGCACGGAGCGCCGCACCTCAGCCTGAAACAAACCCTTCGTTCCTGGCCCAGAGCGAGATCCACCGGAGAAGCGCAGCATGCCAGCTTTAGCCCATGGGTCCGTGAGGACCGGTTCAGCCAACGCGTCTGCAGGGGGTCAACAAGTCACCGGGCCCCCTCTGTCCCAGGGCCCCTGGACATGCCAGTGTGAAGATCACTGCTCATCGGTGTGAATCCGGAACTCCCTGCCTTTATCTGAGCGCTGCCTGGGCCACATTTCAGGGTCTAACAGGAAACCTCCATCCGCTCTTGCCTCAACACACAGGGCCAAACCGGCACAAATCCAGAGTGACACCATCGTTCTAGTGGGACTCATCTGATCTCTGGGGTAAATGGGTCCCTGGTCCAGGGCTGTGTCCGCCCTGCTCCCACCCAGGGCATAGCTGCATGGGGAAGGTGGGTGCTGGACTGAATGGCTCCTCAGGGGGCCTGGATCTACTGGTACCAGCCTTAGCTGGGGCACATGCCGTGAAAGGATTAACCAGCCGTGTGTTTCCACGTCTCTGATCAATGCAAACCCGCGGCGATTTAGCAGCAGCCAACAGGATCGCGTGGAGACTTGGCCTCTCCTGATTGACTCACTACACTGCGATGGTTTCCCTTGGCCTGCAGGAGTGACGCGAGTGGGCTCATGTTCCCACCTCAGCTCCTGCCCATGTTTTGTGGCTTCTTCTGGCAGCGTCCTGGCTCGGAGATCCCGGCACTGGGTCCCCACCGGACTCAGGTCACGTACCTCCCTGCCCAGGCTCAGGAGCTCCAGCTCCCTCCCTTAACCTGAGGGACAGCTAAGCATTTCCCCAGCATGGAGGGAGGAGGGGGAACTGCCACTCACCGCGTGGGAGGTCCAAGACCCTGGCTGGGTAGCTGCGGGCGAAGCCGCTGTAGTCGAGCTCGTACTTGTCGTAGTGGGAGCCCAGCAGGCTGTTGAAGCCCCGCATCTCGTAGTGGACGGGCACGGGGCCGTCGGCGGAGCTGGCCACCCACAGGGTGTAGACGTTCTTCTTCCAGCCCCAGTAGGACACGTTCTGCCACACGGTGCAGAGCTGCCCTTTGTAGGACTCCTCCCGCACGGGCTGGGGAGGTGATATTACAGTCACGTTTCTCAAACTGGGGGTCCTGACCCAAAAGGGGGTCACAAGGCTATTGTAGGGGGGTCGCGAGATCACAAAAAATACTGCGATCGCCTTTAGATCCTTTGCTAGGGTTCCCATATTTCAAGTTCCCAACTAGAGGACACTGCTGGGGAGAGGGGGAGCTGGTGGGGGAGGGTGGGTACCGCAGCTGCAGCTCTCCAGCCGCCCAGCCCTGAAGGCAGCGCTGCCGCCAGCAGCAGCAGCAGCGCAGAAGGAAGGGTGGCAATACCAAACCAGGCCACCCTTCCTTCTGTGCTGCTGCTGGCGGCGGCGCTGCCTTCAGAGCTGGGCGGTTGACCAACCAGCCGCCGTTCTCCAGCTGCCCAGCGCCGAAGGCAACGCAGAAGTAAGGGTGGCAAAACCAAAGCACACATTTCAAAAATGAAAACTGAATGTGCAGGCCGATTTCAGGGCCTGCCTCAGTTTCCTGGAGCCACAATTGAAAAAACGCTGTGCTTCCAAACAGCAGCACCTCTGGCAGTAAGTGTCCAGATACTTGTTTGTATATTGCTGTGGATAAAGCCGCAATCCTTGGACAATGTTATGATAATTGCCCCCAATCACTGGAAAAGGCTCCCAGCTCCCCCAGCTGTAGCCTGTTGTCTATTTTCTTTCAGAAAACGTGTTTCTTAAATGTCCCCGTATTTAGTCCCGAAAACTCTGGCTTGACGCTTTTTGAAAGTGCTGGGCCTTCAGTGCTGGGCGCCAGACGAACAGAACTCTGGCTGCAACCGGGCATGGTGCACGGCTCTGCCAATGCACCTCCCGCCCGACCTGCAGCAGTTCTGGCCCTGGCTCCAACAGAGGAGCTGACAGCCCCGCCCGCTTGTGGGATGGACGTTGCAAAGGCACTGCCAGCTATGCCCTCGGCTTCCAGGCCAGGCAGAACCGACCCTCCGGAGAGTGGCTAGCGTGGGTGGAATTTTATTTCACCAGCAGCTGCGGCGCTTGGGGGAAGGCGGTTCAGTCTCTCCCCCCTGCCCCTGATTCGGGGCCATGCATTCCCTAAAGGAGCGGCAGCATCAACTGAGAGGCTGCTTTCCACCCAGGTGCGCTAGGGGAATGCCAGGCGTCAGCCCCTCCACGCCTCTCCCTCCAGGCGGGACCGCGGCAAAGGACACTGGGAGCGCTGGCGTGACTAGACCCAGGCTTGTCCCCTGCATTCAGAGCCCCCAGGGAATGGACACAGGAGAGGAGCGCGTATGGGGGATGGCTGGGCTCCTCGTTCAGATTTATCCGGGTCTAGCAGGCTTGGGGAGACTCCATTTCCTACAAGCTGCCTTGGCGGGGTGGGGGGTGCCCAGCTGAACCAGCAAGACCCAGGCCAAAGGACTCCGTTCGCTGTGAACCAAAGACCTGACCTGCCTTTTGCCAGGCCTCACCTTGAAGCCGTCCAGCCTGGGGAAGACGCTCTGCGGATAGACGCGCTTCCGAGGGCTGCCGCTGATCCGGAAGCACTTCCGGACGTTCAGCTCCAGCTCCGTGGTCTCTGGGGTGATCTTGTAGAGGGCACCAAACAGCTTCTCTGCCCCGTATTGGAAGGTGACCACTTGCCCTGGGAGGCAGGGAAGAAACGCGGGAAGGGCAAGACATTTCATGGGCCCAGCCTCAGGCGAGGGAAGGGGAGAAACCGCCGGGGTCTCCGCCTCTCCCTGGGCAGGCTGAGAAGGGGGAACGGTACCGAGGCTCTAACTCTCAAGCTGCGAGTGTCACTGTCCGTAGCTTTTCAGACCCACCTGGGGCAGATCCCGGGGAGGTGGGAGAGCAGCCCTCGGAGCTGGTGTGACGCTGAGCTCCCTGCAGCCAGGCCATAGCCACGGCTGGCTTGGCTGCCCACCGGCAGCCAGCCATGCCCGGCTACAGAGCCGAGGGAAAGCGAGCACCAGGCCATGGAGAGCTGGGTGTTCTCCTGCCAGGGAGCGGCACCTAGCGCCTCCCCCCGGCTATCCCTGCTGTGCAGCAAGAGGGGAGAGTTAGGAGGGGAGACGACTGACCGGGAGCAGCAGAAGTGCTCTAAAAGTGTGTGTGGGGGGGGGCATAGGCGCCTGAACCATGGCCCTGCCCTTGCCCCCCCAAAGGCCCCACCCCCACACCACCCATTCCCCTTCCAAGGCCCTGTTCCTGCGCCATCTCTTCCCCCCCCGCACCCCGCTTGTTCCTTTTTGCCCCCTCCCCCTTATGGACAGTAAAAAGGGGGCGGGGCATGGCCCTGTGCTCCCCCCCCCGCGTCTGCCGCCCCTGCGACTGACCCACCTGGAGCAACTTACAGCCCTGTACCACCTAGGGTGCCTTGCACCCCCTCCAGCTCACACCCATTTGCAGAGGTGGAGCATGCGCCCTCCCCTTGCACTTGGCCCTCTGCATGGGGGGGACTCCCGCTCACACCCCGAGGGGGCCAGGAGAAAGGGGAACCAAGGGAACACCGAGCGCAGTGAAGTAAATGGATGGGCTCCCGCTGGGCTCCGGATCAGGCCCCAAGTCGAATGAGGCTCCCCTCGTTCGTGGATTGGGAGGCGGGGGCATGTCAGGCTGGGGGGTGGGGTTTTCCTGGGGCTCATTTGCAGCATTCAATACGTCACCTCTGAGTTTGGCCCCAACGGTGAGACCTGGCCCTGCCACCCGGTGAGGAGCAGAGAGTGCCCAGCACGCCTACCGTGGTAGTACTGGATCCGGCTCTTCTCTCCCGTCTGGTTGTACCAGGCTTCAAAGGGCTCCCGGATTTCAGCGAACGGCAGGTCGATAACACCTGCAGGCCACCAGAACAGGAGCCAGGTTAGCCCGAGTCCGTGCCACAGAGACAGAGGGACGAGGCCCAGATTCATCGTACAGACGCAGGATGAGCTCAGACGTGCCCGACTCAAGCCACATGTGGTGCCGGGCTCTGGGCACACCAGGGTACTAGGGCCAGCTGCCCGTAATGGAAATTAACCCAGGTCAGAATTCCCATTCTGCCCCATTTCACACCCAGAGGAGTCCGGCCTCCGTCAGCGAGAGCTCCCAGAGACGCAGATTTGTGCGCCCAGCTCCTCCTTGTGTCCTGAGCTACGGCTCGAGACCCAGACAGCTCCATGCGTCCCCCTCAGAAAATGCTGCATTGTAACACCGCAGCGAAAGCAGCCACCGAGCAGCCTGGCCTAACGGCGAGGAAATTAGGCCAAGCCACTTCACTCTCCGCGGCACTGCTGCTCCCTCCCATCCCAGAGCCTCTGGCCAGGAAGCTGCTCGGTGGAGATTTCCTTCTTGCGCTCTCCAGAGGCCGGGTTGTGTCCATGACCCTGTTCGGACTCTGGCCAATTGGTGCCCGCATCAGAGAGAACGGACAAGGGGGAAGTTTTACCGGGCGCGTGGCCTAGCGCCTGGGCAATACCCCCTGGAGCTCCAGTCTCACCCAGGGGCCTAGACCGGGCGTACTGAACAGCGCCGGGTACGTGCCCGTTCCTGGGAAGTGTTTTAAATGAACAAAAGGACTTCCCAGTAATTGTAATATACAGTCATTGCCTCCCTCTAACGGGAAGGTAGCATGGCCTAATGGCTAAAGCACGGGCGTGGGACTCAGGAAACCTGGCTTCTATTCCTGGCTGTGCCACTGATGGGTGACTTCGGGCAAATCATGCCCCCTCCGTGCCTCAGTTTCCCCACCTGTCAGATGGGGACAATGATCCTGATTCTCCTTTGTAAAGCACTTTGAGATCTGATGATGGAGAGCTAGGTATTAATTAATTATTAACTGCCTGGCACTGCTGCAGAATGGACACCAGTGGGTCTGAGGAGCTAGCTAGACAGGCCAGTCCTGCCAACACCTGTAGCTATCGCTTAGGCTGATGGTGGCATGGGGGTGACAGCTTGACAGACAGACTCATTAAGACAGTCCCTGCCCTGCGGTGGGGGAGTTGGGGACTCAGTCGGGGGCCAGACCCTTGCGTCCGAGGGGCTCTGTGTGGGCACATGGGTCCGGCGGCACAGATCCAGCTGTAGGCCTGAAGCCCCAGAGCTCAGTGTTGCAAACACAGCGAGCAGTCCCCATGGGGGACTCAGGCCTGAGAGGCACTGGGAGACAGAGCAGGCGGAGGGTTGGTTTGTTAACTTGCTTACTAGGGGATGAGGCTCTCCTGCGTCCTTTCCCTTCCCATATGCTGGCTTTGTCTGAGAATGGTGGGAAAGGATCTGATTCTATCTAGATATTGACATGGCCCCGCCCCATAGAATCTCAACTAAAAACAGCAATGGATTCATCCTCACAACCCTCCTGGAAAGTACCATCATCCCCGTTTCACAGATGAGGAAACCGAGGCACAGAGCGACGCAGCGACTTGCCCAAGGTCACACAGGGAGAGCCACAATTGAACCCACGACTCCTGAGTCCCGGCCCAGGGCATTAAGCACAAGACCCGTCCTCCCACTATGGCCGAAGAAGAGTTTCAGTGCTAAGAGGTGACCGGCTGGTCTCTGTTAAGTACGACCGTGATGGTCCAAAACATTCCCTTTGGCCAGAGCAGTGCTGCCGGATCTGGGGGGAGGGGAGATTGCTGGAGGACACTAGCTGTGTTTATACGGGGTGTTTTCAATCTCTCTGGGTAACATTAAGGCCTGTTGGGCCCCAAGAAGGCTCCAAGCCGTGAGGCCCGCACATTTGTGGCACTCTACAAACCATCACCTCTGGGGCTCAATTTCCCCATCTGCTAAGTGGGGACAAGCCTGGCTCCCTACTTACCAGAGCAGCTGAGCAGTTTAATTCAGCAAGTGCAGCACCTTCCGATCCCTGGATCAGAGGTGCCAGATCAGGGCTCAAGATTACCCTGAGTGGTTCCTACCAGAGGGCAGGGCAGCGCTGTTTCCGTGGTCGAGGCATCACCATGAGATGCACACACCACAGCCATCTGCCGGAGGGACAGCAGGCTGCAATCCCCAGACCCCGACCACAGAGTACCTGGCCCGCTCACCTGAGACGTGGTAGATGTTGCCAAAATCAGGGACCGCCCATCCAGATGTACCCCCGGCTCCTGTAAAACAACGATCAGCTGATTTCTCGGCATCGGACATTTCCCTCCCCAAACCCAGCTGGAGGGGCTAGGAGACAGGGAACCTTTCCAGACTAGAGTGCCTTGCAATCAGCTACCCACCTCCCTAGAGTTCAGCAAGGCACTTAAGGAAGAGCCGGTCTTTAATTACACGATCGCACGGAGGGTACTCGGGTGCTTAATGTCAGGCATGTGCTTAAACGCCTTGCTGAATCGGGGTCCTACCAGGGATGGGGAAGAGGAGTTGTGCCAACCCAAGATGGGTTTGGTTACACTCAGAGCCCTTTGTTATTAGCATTTGCTGATTTCCCCCCTAAAACGCCCATGGTTTTGAAAAAGCCACAATTCGGATTCTACTGATTTTCACCCAAATTTTGGCTTTTTGGGGACCAGGGAATTTTTCGCTGGGGAAGTGGCTGGGGCCACGCTGAAGGGCCAACAGAGTCAGGCAGGGCCGGCTCTAGGCACCAGCGCTCCAAGCATGTGCTTGGGGCGGCACTTTCCAAGGGGCGGCACTCCGGCTCCTTTTTAATTTTTTTTATTTTTATTTTTTGCCTGGGGCGCAAAAAGCCTTGAGCTGGCCCTGAGCGGAGGTGAGCTGCGGCGGTGGGGGGCGTGGGGAGGGCCGCAGGAAGTAACCCTGGGGGGGGGGGCGGCAGAGGAACCGCTCCTCCCCCAGCTCACCTCCGCTCCACTGCCATCTGCTCCCCAGAGCGCGCCGCCACTCCGCTTCTCCCCCCTCCCTCCCAGGCTTGCCTGGGAGGGAGGGGTAGGAGGGGAAATGCAGCGCGCCCAGGGGAGGAGGCGGGGCCGGGGATTTGGGGAAGGGGTTGGGAAGGGGCGGAGTTGGGGCGGGGCCAGGGGGCGCGGGAAAATATTTTTGCTTGGGGCGGCAAATAACTTGGAGCCGGCCCTGGAGTCAGGAGAGGCCGCATCCCCTGCTGGCACCTTCAGCGCAGTCCCACGGCACAGAGCCCTGTCTGCTTCCCCTGTCCAGACCCTTCAACGCAGCCCCGTCCCCTTCCCCTGCACATTAGGGGAGCGAGGCGGGCTGGCAGCTGTCCAACTGCTGCATCATGAGTAACTCCCCCCCGCAGCTCCCACCCCCGTCAGTACCAAGCACCCCTGCCCCTGCTCCCCACCTCCTGCCCTTCCTTTTCAATTTTTCACCAATTTTCACTCGTTATTTACATTTAGGAAGAAACACTCCCAGGCGATTTCAAACCAAATAAACCCCGAAAACGAGGGGCTTAGGGATACCCCCCATAAACCCATCCCAGCTCCTGGGCTAGCATCACACCACTGTGGATGCAGCAACACAGATCTGGCAGGGGTAGCGCTTTGCAGTGCGGATGCTCCACGCGGGTGAGGCTAGTCCAGGATAACTCTGCAATAACAAGAGGGGTGATCTTAACTGGGGCTAAAAGCGCAGTGCGGACACAGCCGCTCGGGTTTTAACTCGAGTTCAAGTCCAGGTTGACCTAGCGGCTTTCACTGGAGCTGCTAACCCAAGCGGCTGCTATTTTAACCCGACTTAGCGCAGCCTCGTTAAGAACACGCCTTTCGTTTTGCAGCGAAGACCGGCTCTGAGGGGCTCTGGACAAAAGCTCCTGGGGATGGCAGGTGTGTGTGTGCGTACATTATACTCTCCGCTCAAAAGGCAAAAGGCAGGCAACAGAAGAGAGGCCATTTTCTTCCAGAAGAGAGTTTCCATCCGGTCTGGAAGTGGGGAAAAGGGACAGGAATTAATCACATGAATCATCTCTCTGGGGAAGTGCATCTGGTCCCTGCATTTCCATCAGCATCTGGCCACCGGATCTGCTGCATCTTCTCTAGCCGGCATCACAACCAGATATTCTACGCCTAGGGCCCTTTGTAAAGCATTTTCTAAGCCAGGAAGTGAACACAGCTCAGCGGACTTGCCTGACAGAGCAAGGAGCGGTTGCATTTCCATCCCAGCATGCTTTGCAGGCCGCTTGTGCATGGTTATGCCCTCACAGGTGAAATGCAGCCACCTCTGGGGCGGGGCATGCCGGCTGCTTGACAGCTTGTAGCAACATGGATGGCAGTTTCAGGGCAGAACCAGAGGAAGGAACCTGTATGGAGCTGACATTGCCAGGGGATTTAGGGAGGCGGAAGGGAATTAACCACATTGGGATGTGACTGGGACTCTAGGGACATCCTGACTGCTTGGGAAAGAGCCACCGGGGTATGACAGCCACAAGGGGGCAGCGTCCTCATTCAGTGTGTCAGCTAGAAACAGCAAAGTACCACACATAAAGGGGAGAGCACCCGCTACTGAGCCCCCTGCCCTGCTCGCTTCAGCACAGCGCCCCCTAGCGCCATGCTGGGGCATTGGGGCCACTCTGCCTACAAGGGGAGGACCCCATACTGAGCTCCTGTCCCCACTCCCCACCCCCTAGTGCCACATTGGGACAAACAGACTGTGAGTGGAAAGCGCCCCCTACTGAGCCCCCATCCCACTCTTTGCAGCACAGTACCCCCTAAGGCCCTTTCTACACTAGGACCACTTTGACAGAGTAGCTACACTACAGGGGCAAAGTGCTCCTAGTGGATGCAGCTTACACTGGCAAAACTGCACATTGTACTGGTATACCTTATTCCAGCCCCCCTAAGTGAAAAAAGTGTGGTGCATTGAAACTGGGTAAAAACAACAAGCTATCACTTTAACAGGAAGGGGTTTCCTGGTCCTGCTTGCAAGCTAGGGGTCTCTGTAGGGAAGTGTGCGATCTAGGGCTTCAGCAATCAGTCTGCAAAGGGTGAGCCTAGAGCAAAGTGGGGTGAGTTGTGTTTCTCTGCTTTAGGACTGCTTTCAGGCTAACTGGCCTAGAGTCACTCAGGTCATACAGCTTGCATTTTCTGAATATTGGCACAACATTAATACTCCTACAGTCTTCCGGAATTTCTGGGGAACAAAAGTCTCCTTAGCCAACTCTTTTAGGATTCCTGGTCCAAGTTATTAGGGCCTGCTGATGAGCTGGAACAAGGTAGTTCGTCAATCCTCATGATATGAATACATCATCCTGCTTCTTTCCAAATACAAAACAGAAATATTTACTGAACACTTCCTGCATTATTATTAACAATTTTACTATCTCCATCTAGTAATATGCCTATACTCTATACCATTGCTGGGATTTTTTAGTTCCGAATATTCTTTTAAAACTCCTTATTTTCTTTATCCCTACCAGATATGGATTTTCTGTGATGTTTTTAGCTTCCCTTATCAATTTTCTACACATCATAACTTCTAATTTACATTGATTGCTATGTTGCCTTTCTTCTGTATATCATATGTTGTTGTTTTTTTTAATTTCTAAACACTGCCTCTACTTCAGCACTGAACCAGAATGGACTTTTGACCAAAGTTGTCCTCTTTCTTGATTTGGTAGCATGGCTTTTTTGTCCATCTAATAAAATCTTCTTAAAGAAGTCCCAATTTTCATTCACATTTTTCTTTCTAATTTTTTCTCCCAAATCAATTTCACTCAAAATGCTCCTCATCTTTGAGAGATCAGCCCTTTTAAAGCACCAAATGTATATATTACTGGTTGGGCCTGCCCTCTGTGTGTCCATAGTGAAATAATCAGCTCACGATCACTGGTCCCTAGACAACCACCACCATCCAGTTCCGCAACTGATTAATCTTGATCTGTCATAATGAGGACCAACATAGTTACCTCATGTTGGGTGCAATACTTCCTGCAAGCAATACAAATCTATCATTTTAAATACCTGGAATGATGTTTTATCACCAGCTGCATGAGACCTCCAGCGTATATCTCCCAAATTGAACTGCCCCATTATAGCACCATTTCTGCCAACATATTAAACACCCATCTGTAAGGAGTAACTCATCCTGTTCTCTGGTTTGATTCGCTGACCTGTAATGTCAAATATATAATTTTTTCCTCATCAATGAGAATTTTTAATTCCTCCTACTTGTTACCCAAACTCCTAGCATTGGTATGGAAGCAATTGAAAAATCTCTTCACGTTTTTGCTACATCAGTTCAAGTTAGTCGGGACATCTTGAGTTTGAGTTTTGTACCGCATTTGCCTTCTTAGCACCCTCCCCATTGCACTGGTGGTTTAATGCCCTCAGAGCAGCTCCAGCTAGTCTCCAACAGAGAAGATTAGTCCCCCTAGTTGTGAGATGCAGACCATCCTGTTTGTACAGCCCTCTTTCCCACTGGAATGTGGCCCAGTGTCCCACAAAACCAAAACCTTCAGCCTCACACTGGTCATGCAGCCAACAGTTCACCTCCAGCATTTTCTGCCTTCCCTCAGAGAAGATCATTTGGCTTTTTCTTTTCTTCTGCTCCCTTCCAAGTGCCTGAGGTCTTCTATAATCTGTGTAGTTCTATGTGATGCCATATCATCATCAGTGGAGACAACTTCATAACCCCATCCAATGCTGGGGTTACAGCTCGTATCTTCACTGTGTGGAGATAGCACACCGCCCTACCGTCCTTGTGTCCATCACTGAATTCTCCTTCTTCTCTTCTTAATACGGCGTCACCAATTGTTTACATTGTTAGGATGGTAGAAGAACCTGGCTTGGTTGCTGCTTATTTCAAAGCACAATGATACCTTTCAGGTATGTCTCCTGTAGCTTTCTATTCCATTCCTCCAGAGACACATTCTTCCATAGTGGACTTGTTCAGTATCTGAAGATGTTTTGATACTTCTACTCGGGTTGAATGCCTCCTGGCTCTCTTTCCCCTCTTGGTCACAAACAGCCTGTCCACCTCTTTGGTTCCTACTATATCCAATTCCTTTATCACTGATCCTTCCCCTTGTGGCATCTGTGAAAATGATTTCCAGCTCTGGTTGTCCAAGAAGTCTTTGTTTTTTTGCAATTTATGCTTCCAGACCATGTGTCTCCAGTACAGCCACCAGCTTGCACTTCATATCCCAGGTATCTATTCTGTCTTCTGACAGAAAGGAAAACATAGCACTTCCAAGGTAGGTCCCAGCATTTGTTCTCTCCTCATCTATATCTGCTGCCTGGTGGAGAGCCATACTTAAAACAGTAATCACACTCCCTCCGAAATTCGCACTGTTTGCTACTCCGGTTCACGTCAACTGACTTATACACTAAACCTCAGGGCTCAGCACCCTCCCTCGCCAACAGGAGCGAATAACTACTCAGACTCCCAACACAGCTCAAAGCCAGAGATCCCAGGGACGAGGGCCTCACTGAAACACAGACAGACCTTTGCACCAGGCTAGTTCAGGGGCCTGGAGCCCATCCACAGAACCTCCACGCAGAACAACCAGCCAACACAAGGGACAAACACAACACTCGCCAAGTCCCTCTCGCTGCAGACATAGACTCCTTCACCCCCCGAAACATCCAGATTTGCTGCTCCTGTGACCCCGCTAAAGGGAAGGGCTGGTGGCATGGGCCACAATTTTTCACAAAGAAAAGGTTCCAAGCCAGGGAGGTCCATGTTTCAGCTACATCAGAACAGCTTAACAGTTGTGGGGACACATCACCAAGACTTGTTTTGTCACGTACCAGCCAGTCAAAACCCAGTTCCTTTTTCAAACTCCCAACACAAAATGGAAGAGAGAGAGAGAGAGAGAGTGTGTGTGTGTGTGTATGTGACATTTTGCAGCATATTACTCAAGAACAAAGCTTCAGGACAGCGAGTGGCAATTCCCAGCTCCTTCGGAAGAGCCTGATGGCCACAGGGATGTCTCCTTTGGGGTGACTTGCGCTTTATTTTGTCACGGACAAGCCACAGAAACCCAGCGCTTTACTTGAGTCCGTCATTCATAAATAATTAAGTAATTAGTCATTTAAATGTTTATCTCGTTCAACCATATGGTTTGATGAAATGTCTAGAAATGTTATCTTACGCGGCTGTATTTGTAAATCGTTTGGGCCTGTGACTAAGGAACTGGGAACCATGAGTAAGGATCTGGTACCACGAAAAAAGGGCTGGTACCACGAATAAGGAACCATCTTCTGCCTTCTTGCAGACGTCTGTAACATAGACCAAGCCTCAGGCTTCCTCTGCTCCTTTTGCACCCATAACCAGATTGTTTATCTGGGTCTCTATTTCCGTCCACACCCTGATTACAGCCAGTGAGCCAATAACTGATGTAATCACACCATTCTGAGCACATCATTTCAGGGCAATGGGGAACTAGCCAGCAAGGCTTTTATGGTCAGGGTATGTCTGAAAATAAATTTGCCCTCCCAAATCCACGAATAGAACCCAGGAGTCCTGATTCCCTGCTCCTACAGACAAGGCTAGATCCCAAGAGTCCTGACTCCTAACCCCTACCACTCTAACCAACTAGACCCCCACCCCTCTCCTAGAACAAGGAATAGAACCCAGGGGTCCTGACTCCAAGATCCCTCTGCTCTAATTAAAACACCATGCTCCCTCTCTACACAGTCATTTAATCAAACATGTTCTGAATCTATCCTATAGGACCTCATATCACTTGACAACCTCCTATTGGTTGATCATTTCAATCAGTAGAGAACTGCAGCCATCTCAGGGGTGGAGCACGCCAGCTGTTTAACTGCTCAGCAAGATGTTCCCCTGCAGTTTGCAGTCCCCATACCCATAATTTACACGGGGATTCTTTTGGGCAGAGGCTGCCTCACGCTGTGTTTGGGAAGCCCGCAGTGTATGATCACTGCTAGCACAAGTTATTATGAGACAGTGTGGTCCCGTGGCTAAACCACTGCACTGCACTGGGACTCCCGGATCTGTCCTAGACCGGCTGTAAGAGAGTGGGCACATTGTGTCCCCTCTCTGTGCCTCAGTTTCCCCTTCCACCTTATGTCTACTTTGATTTTAAGCTCTTTAGGGTAGGGACCGTCTCTCACGGTGTGTCTGGGCAGAGCCTGGCAAAACAGGGCCCTGGTCTCAGATGGGGCAGGGACTGGCCCAATGGGGCCCTGATCTCAGTCAGAGCTGCATGCCCAATAACTTAGCACCATTTCACCTACTTTTGGTGATTTAGGGAATCGAAGAATCATTGTCCCCAGACATGGTTTTTGCCCCCAAATAAAGACGAGTGGCTCTTACCTAGGCCCTGGGTCTGGGTTAGCAGTTGGGAATGTGGTCTGATCCCACCGCTGACACTAACCAGCGGGACAGTGCGGTTAAGTCGGATAACAAGTAATCATATTCATCTCTATCTGTGGCAATAGCCTCAGCACTGTGAGTGGCTGGTGGCTCAGGAGAGGAAAGGGAACCATGGTAGAAACTTCCGGACTCTTAACGGCAACATACTTGCTGTTTAGATGGCAATAAGGTTCAACGGTTAGAATGACTGGGAGTCAGGGTTCCTGGGTTTCATGCCCACTTCCAGGAGGGGGGGTTCTAGTGGGTTAGAGTGGGGGTGCTGGGAGTCAGGACTCCTGGGTTCTATCCGCAGCTCAGAGAGGGGAGTGGGGTGGAGCGGGGGGGGGGGGGAAAGCGGGGAGTTACGACTCCCCCATTCTCTTTTGTTCTGCCACTTTTCTCCATCCCTGCCGGGGGATAGGAACCCTCCTCTCCCCTGGGGAGGTTTAGAAGCTCAGATGCGTTGAGATCCCAGCTGGATGGTGCTAAAACAGGACAAAGCCTCATCCCTTCCCCAGGGTCTCTCAGAGCCACCAGCTGTTATAGTCCTCTTAGCTCCCCACCAGGGGGCCCATTTGGCCCGTGGCAAGGGGGTTGCTGGGAATGAAAGGGTTAATGGGAACAGGCACCCCCACCCCTCAACCCCCACGTCATTATAATCAGCCCGAGGGCCCGGCCTTCTCAGCTTCCAGGGAAAGTGGAAGGCTTTTGGCTGAGGCCAGAGAACAAAGCAAAACAACCCCCCAGGGAGAATTGTGGGCAAAGCCAGGAAGAGAACATGGGAGCCCTGCATCCCACTGCTCGAACCCATTCGCCTCCCAGAGCCACGGATAGAACCCAGGCGTCCTGACTCTCAGCGCGGGGAGCAATTCACCTGCCAGTGACTGAGGTTTGGAGGCTCTCTGCTCAGATCCCATAGGCCAGGCTGTAATGTAATGGCCAGAGACTGACTGATGGTACCCTCTAGTGGCCACCCTGTAGGGGGAATTTGGGACCTGTTAAGAGCAGCCCCCCATATCTCCTGTAGCTTAGAGGGCTGGAGAATTTGGGCTGGAGAACCACTGCTCTTACTCCAGCTCCGCCTGCATGTGGGGTTCTGCACTACCAGTGCCTGTTCCTTACAGCGCCTGAATTTCATTGCAACGGGTCCCTGGCAACGTGGGTCTCTCGGCTCCCTCCTGTGAGGTTGAGGAATCCTGCAAGGACCAGGGCTGAACTGGGCTGGCTAAAGCCTGCATGAGCCCCAGAGGGCCTGGAAGACCCTGGATTCCTGGTGCTCTACCACACAACCCCCTGCCCGCAGCCCCTGCTTTGCTACACACGCCCCTGGTGTTTTTAACAGACCTTTGCTACTGAGTAAACGATAAGGAAATTCTCAGACAAAAAACTTTGTTCAGCCAGAGTTTGGGATGGGAAATGATCAGTCACTTCAAGACAAAGAAACGGAGCTTTAGAAACCCAACCACCAGATAGGCTAGAACATCACAGCTAAGGTGAAATGCAAACAAGCCCAAGCATCTGAAAGTCGAACACTTGACAATATAAGTCGCGCAGCCAGAATCTCCCATATACTGGGCAAAATCCTCAACTGGTGTAAATCGATGCAGCCGCATTTATTTAATCCACCTAAACTAATGTATACCAATTGGGGATCTGGCCCCATTGATTCCCGTAGAGCTACGGCCGATTCACACCAGCTGGGCATCTGGCCCCATTCACTCTAATGGAGCTACAGCCGATTCACACCAGCTGGGCATCTGGCAGACTGAGCGATGGGTCCTCTTTCTGTTTAGGGTAGCAGCAGCGCAGTGGGGACCCCAGATGGTTGGGATCTCAGGAGAGCTCAGTGGGAACTGGCTCAGTGATTCTCCACGTGGCTGTAGAGTTCCTGTAGGCCCAAACAGAGGGTCTGTGTGATTCCTGCCCAAATGGGAAGGGGCGTGGGTTGGTATCACGCCCCTTCCCATGGGTCATGAGGGGTAGATGGGGGCTGGCATCACCAGTGTCGTGCCAGTGGCCCCCAGCACAGTGTGTGGGACTCAGCCTGGCCTCCATGGGGCCTGATGGGATCAGCACCTGTGGCCTGAGAGTTTGGGGGTGTCCAGCCACCCTCTCTGGGACGCCAAGGCCCCTCACCCTGGGCACTTACCCAGGACAGAGATGGTGACGGAGGAGAGGCAGGATGTCCCAGCCATGCCCTGAACCTCGCCGTGATATTCCCCAGCATGCTTTGCTGCGATGCTCTCAAACACCAGCTCCCGCCGGAACGGCCCCAGACTAGTGTTATCTTTGTACCAGACACAGGTGGCATTAGGAAGGATGCTGTGGGTTGAATGGCACATCAAGTTCACAGATTCACCTTTACACATGTTAGCATCGTGACCATGCCAGGGACTAACTCCTTTAGGGGCATCTGGAAACAGAGAAACGATCCATAAAAAGGAAAAGAAAAATTGGGTTTGTACCGTATTCTATTCTGTGGTTGTGTATGGGAGTGGGGTAGCGTCACTTTAAATAGTCAGTGAGCCCTCTGGGGTGCTCACCATGTTCTGTGGTTCAGAAAGCAACCAGAGCAGCTCGGCCTGTCACGTAGCGCATAGTTAGTAAACATGGTTATTTGCACCCCACCAGCCTGTGTGGTCTCTTCATCTGATGACTGTTATTTAAAAGGCAAAAGACACAGCATTAGAGCCAGTCAGAAAATAGGCTGGGGTGTGTGTGTGTGTGTGTAAATTTGACTTTTCGGCAAAACATTGAAAACCAAAATATTTCAATTCACCGCCTGTAAAGCCCATTATCAACTATTGGTTCCCCATGTAATTCCTCCTAGACTGGGATCAAGTCTTAACCTTCTCTTTGTTCAGATAAACAGATTGAGCTCCTTGAATCTAGCCCTGTAAGGCCTGTTTTCCAATCCTTTAATCATTCCCATGGCTCTTCTATGACCCCTCTCCAACTGATCGACATCCTCCTTGAACTGTGGGCACCAGAACCAGACACAGGATTCCAGCAGCGATCGCACCAATGCCAGATACAGAGGGAAAATAACCTCTCGCCTGTATATCCATCCCAGGATCCCAATAGCGCTTTTGGCCACATCGCCGCACTGGAAGCTCATGGTCAGCTGATTATCCACCCCGACCCCCAAGACGACTCTTCCCAGGCTGTTCCTATGGTACAAAGACACAGCCACAACCCGCTTCCCCTCCGTGGCAAGTCTCCCTGACCAGGTCCCCAGCACTTACGCCAGCCAGAGATGTACCTGGCCTCGCAGCACAGAGTACTGGGATTGCCTTCACGTATCGGTCTCTTCCCAGCCTTGACGCTTGGCACTTTCAGGGTAACAGACGGTGAGAGCTGGGTTAGCATTCATCAAGGGAGCCCTGCCCCGGGACAGAACAAAAGGGTAGATCCCTCCCTGCCCATCCTCTGGGATAATAATATTTCCTAGAGCCAGCTGACAATTTTTCAAGCAAAAAGAACCCAGGAGTCCTGACTCCCAGACCCCCCTGCTCTAACCTTTACACCCTATGCCCATCCCAGAGCCAGAAAGAAAACCCACAAATGCTAGCTGCAGCTAGGGTGACCAGATGTCCCGATTTTATAGGGACAGTCCCGATTTTTGGGTCTTTTTCTTATATAGGCTCCTATTACCCCCCCCCACCCCCGACCCGATTTTTCACATTTGCTGTCTGGTCACCCTAGCTGCAGCCCCCCTGTTCCAACTACCAGATGAGCTGTGTCTAGACACAGAGCTCACCAAGCTCACCTCATTGAGGGCTGGGATTGGCCTGAGCCGCACCCATCCCTGTATCTATCCAGCCGGCATCTCAGCACCGCGCCATGGTCCTGCCAGGACGGGGATATTCACAGTTTGGTGTCCCCAGCCTGGTCCGAGGTTTGCTCTGGGTTCCATGTGCCATTTCAGTCATACTAGGAGGCAGGATGTGGGCACCTGGGCCCTAAGGAGCAGGTGAAGAGAGGTCCTGGTTCCTGTCCAATGAGGGGATTCCCACATGGATGGGCTGTGAAGACAGGAGGAATCTGGAGTCATTTAACCCTGCCGGGGCCCAGGAGAGCAGCAATCTCAGGAACCCGAAGCCTGGCTGCCAAGGCTGGAGCAGGCCCCAGGATGCTGAGTGCCTCCCAGCCTGTGTGTTTGCCTGGCCTGGGGAATGAGGTCTCATGGGAAACTAAGGGGAGCAGCTAATGTTACTTAGAGACCCTGGGGAAGAGCTGGGAATGCCCAGAGGGACTCAGACGCCACGTGTGGGGCTGGGGGAAACATTGGAGCAGGGCTTTAAAGTCCCATCAATCTGATTACCCTCTTGCCTGCTTCTTTACAATATGACTCAGAAGGGTCAGATGCTTTGCTCCCAGCACTTCGTCAGCAGAGGCAAAGGGTTCAAGAGACTGCCAGTAGCCAGGAACCTGACAAAAACACCTAGAAGTTCTGACCCACGAGTGCTCCCCTGCTCTAACCACCGGACCTCATTTCTCTCTTAGAGAACAGGGCAAAAATGGGGGGCGCACTGCCCCCTTCTGGAGAGGATGAACCCTGCAGAGAGAGAGAGAGTGTGTGTGTGTGTAGCCTTCTCTAAGGTGATTCAAGTGTCCTGCATTGAACCAACCATGCTGGAAAGGAGCTGGTCCATCCAGAAAAGGATGCTGGGAATGTCTCTGCCCAGTCCTGACAGTAGACACCTGTAAGGGAAACAAATCATTCTGGATCATATGCCACCCGGCCCTGTCTGGTGGAATCGTCCCACGGGCTGGGCCGCTGAGCAAATTGCTGCCCGGAGCCACCAGGGAGGGGCGGATCCAGTGCCCAGAGAATTGCACCCAGGGGAATTAGGAGCCAGAGTGTCATGTTCCAGTGTGACTTAGGAGCCTACCTCTGATTGACCCTCAGTGGGACTCCGGGCTCCTGGGTGACTTTTGAAAACTAGACTTAGGCTCGAGAGTTAGCCCGGACTCTGCTCCCGGGGTTGCCCCATCCCCCCTTCCATCCACACCGAAGAGCCTCTCACCCAGGTTGGAGGGGCTTTCAGCCCAGGCCGGCAGGGACAGCTGAGGGCGGAGCTCTGGTAACCCACCTGCTTCACTAGTGCTAACCTCCAGGGATCAAAAATCATGACGTTGGCCCAAACGAGCATGAGATTTTTAAAGATAATATTGTGGGGGGTTTGGTGGTTCCAATTTTCCCTGAGGACAATTAGTGTCGCTAAACTTACCGGGGAAGGGAATTTCGGCCTCCGCTGCAGGAGCTCTCAGCCCCACATCTGCCCACCCCCTGCCCAACAATTAATCCTGTCCTCAACCTCCACCTCAATCTATCCCCCAGTCCCCCATCTGTTCAGCCCATTCCCCACCCCCAGACCGGCCCAGCCCCTCCCTCAGCCCAGTCATCCCCTCATTTCAGCCCCCATTGCCCCCTCCCCGAGTTCAACTACCCCCTCCCTCCCTCACTTCAGCTCCCCCCACTCCCCCCTCAGTCCGAAATGGATACCTCTGCTCTGGGGAAATCTTTGGGCAGCAAAACTTTTCAAACTAGACTGAATAATGTGCTAGAAAATAAACTTTAAGGAAGAGGCCTGGGCCAGAGGGTTGCCTGGGGACCTAAAAGGTCTTTTCTTTCTCTGTCTTCTAGGAGCTGGAGCTGTGAGTGGAAAAATACGATCCGGAATGAATTTTGCTGAGGCTCATTAACGCACCATGTGGAAGAAGACTCCAACCTCTGGCCTATATTCCCATTGAGCATCCGACACTGGACTCTGGCAATTGTGTTGTGACTGCAGAATCCCCCGCTGGCCTCTGCAATAGCGACAACCCCGTGCCAGTTGCACAGATAGGGGCTGCCTTTCAGCGAGGCCGGCGTCACCTTCGGCCCCGTTCTCCCCGGCGTCCGTCTCTTGCCTTGCGAGCTCCACGCACCACTGCCGGGGGCAGCTCCTTCTCTTCCTCTGCCCTTGACTTTGCACAGCCCTGCAGAACGGCTCCTGGTGAGACACCGCTAGCGTAGGACTTTGCCGGAAATGCTCTGAGGGTTTATTGCTATGAGGCTCAGCAGATATTTTACCCCTTCCAATTAACGAACGGAAAAGCCTGATTCTGCCTCCTCCATCGGCGCCTCCGTCCTCTTGAGCAGCCCTGACAAACACCTTCTTGGGAAATGGCCTGCGTGTGCTAATGCAATGAGTCCCTGCAGCTTCCTGGCTGCCAGAGACAAGGTGACCTGGACTCAGATCCCGTGTCCAGCCTGTGGCTGGTGTGAGAGGCTTCATGGCATCAAATCAGTTACTGGAGAATCTGGGTGTCTATTCCCCCTCTCGGCTTGTTGTCTCTTGCCTTAAACTTAGATCCTAAGCTCTTTGGGAAATGAACTGTCTTTATGGGTGTGTACAGCTCCTAGCACAACAGGGCCGGGTTGATGCCCAGATGCTCCCACAATACAAATATATCAGTATTAATTCCTGAGGATGCTCTTAAAATCAACAGCTCAAATTTCTGCTTGCTGTAAAGCCCAAGTAACTCCATGGACCTCAGCGAAATCACACCAGCTTTACACCTGGGAAACAGAGCAGAACTTGGCCTGAATTACTTATGAGCATAAGCATGAGCCGGGGGGATCTGGTAGAAAGAGCAGAGTTCTTATCTTCTTTGTTTGGGGTTCCGAGGGACATACTGACTCAGTTGGCAGAGAACGTGTTTGCCGGTGGCCTTGGGCTGGAAACCAGCTGTAGCAAGTGGAGGGAGCGAAGGCTACCTGAGAATTAGTTACTAAGCATTTTCCTTTCTCTGCATTCTTTATTAGAATTAGACCAGCTGTTGCCACTGACTGAAAGCTCAGGGATGAGTCAGACACAAAGCGTTCAGCATCTCTCCAAGATTGGGGTTCATGGGGCGTGGGGATCAACCTGGATGCTTCTACAGAGATTCTTAGCATCCTATGTTGGACCCCACATACAGCACCGAGCCAAATTGCCAAAGGGAGCCACCAATTTTGGGTGCCCCCAAGTTGACTTCAGATGCCCAGCACCTCAGAAAACCTATGGTGTCTCAAGTTGCCCCCCTCACCCCAACTGATATCCCCAAAATGTCTGCTCTCAATGCCTAGAGAAATGGGTAAGGCCAGGCTGCAGAAAGACAAATCGCGTTCTCCTCGACTGCTGGTTCCAACAGCAGATGGAAACAAATTGTGTGGAAGAGAGAAATGAGGTGGGGGTCTTGAAGGAGCAATAGCCTGGGGTGACACCACAATCTATTTGTCTCCGACGCTGTGACGAAGTGGGAATGTTCTTAATGTTTTCTCTGAATACTGTGTGGGTGCCTCAGTTTCCCCTATGCAGTTCTTAAGTATCTAGGTGGTGGGATAAGGGGATGTGATTGTCGCAGAGTCCTAGAGGGCCAGTGTGATGCTATCTGCACAGAGAATGGCCGACGCCCTGTCTCCTGGCAACTGGTGGCCTGGGCCTCTCCCCTGCAAAGGTGCCAACTGAAGGTGTGGGAGAACAAAGAGATCAGGTGACCTCCTGGCCCGGGAAAGAGACGAAGGCAGAGGAGGGGCTGGAGAGTTTCAGTTTGGAGCTGGCTGGAGAAATGGAGGGGGGGGACAGACAGGGCTCTGGCCTCCCTGTCCCCAAGATGGACCTGACTAAGGGGTCCTGTTCTCTGTATCTACAAGCTCTGTTTTGGACCGTGTTCCTGTCATCTAATAAACCTCCTGTTTCACTGGCTGGCTGAGAGTCACGTCTGAGTGCGGAATTGGGGTGCAGGGCCCACTGGCTTCCCCAGGACCCCGCCTGTGCAGACTCGCTGGGGGAAGCGCACGGTGTGAGAAGGGGATGCTGACTGCTCCAAGGTCAGACCCAGGAAGGTCGAAGCTGTGTAAGCTTCTTGCCCTGGAGACAGTCTGCTCAGAGAGAGGAGGCTCCCCCAGAGACCTGACTGGCTTTGTATGGAGTAATTCCAGAGCATCGCCCCGTGACTCCGTGACAGACGCCCATCACTGTGGTACTGAAACACCGGGCAAGTGAGATCTGCACGGTGAGATCCAGAACGGGCATCGCAGCGTGCAGAGACTCAAGCACGGCCAACTTCTAGAGCCTGTTCATCCCCGCGAATGGACGTTTCCAAGGCCTTCGAGTCGCCAATCCCCCCACACACCACTCCCCAGCCCAGGGACGGCTTCTTTCGGCCTTGATCTGTCCTACAATGATTGTCTTTCCATGGGCACGTGCTGAGCGGCTGCTTCAAACCCTGGACCTGCAGCAGCCAATAGGCTGGGTGCAAAGAAATGACCCGGCCCTGCCCCTTCTCTATTCTTGAATTCAGTAGCATTTCTTTAACCCACGCACGGGGCAGGGCCGACGTTCCCCATTGGTTGACAGAGGGCCGGTGATTTACATCCAGCCTCTTTTTTAGGGGGCTTCTGGGAGGTTTGGCTTGCAAAGCGGGAGCGAGGGAGCGCCTGGCTGCACGTGCTGCACCCATGGCGATCTTCAGGTGGATGCTGATTCTTCTGTTGTGGAGCTGTTGCCCAGGTGAGTTTATTTGCTTTGCTGCCCTGCAGTGAGTGCGGTACTGGGCTATCTAGCCTGACCCCGGGGTGCTTGGTCCAAGAAACCGGGGAGGTGGTGAATGTTGCATTGTTCACGGTGCTTGCTGTCCTTTCCGTGACTCCAGAGGCCAGGCCCCGACTGAGGGAGGCAGCGTGGCGGCTGCAGCCGACTGTCAGTCTGGCAGCTAGCGGCTGTGAGTCCCACGGGGGCTGTCTGCCTCCAGCAGCCTCCATGCTCACCAAGTTCTGTCTCTTCTCTGCCCCGAGGGCCATGGCCTGCCCTGGAGCCAGTGGCACTCGGGGTGTGGTGGGAGTTTTCCCCAGCCGAAAGGGGGGGGAGCGCGGGAGGGAGCAGGGGGTAGGAACTGGAACTCCAGGGAGTCTCTGGGGCCGCCCTCGTTCTGGCCTGGGCAGGGATATTGCCGTCCATGGTAGGTGCATTGCTTGCTGGGACAGTGAGTGCTGACATGAAGCAGCCTCTACCCACCAAGGGTAGCCAAGGACTGAGCCCACACCCCAGACACTCGCTGGACTCTCTGGGAGTTGCGGGCGCGTGAGATCAGCGGGACCGGTCCCATTGGGCCCTCGGACTTGGTCTGGGGGAGTGGGACCAGCAGGCATGTGAATTAGGCATGGTGTGTAAAGTAGTTACGGTAATTCTGGGGTATAGCCCCTGCGCTGCTTTGGGGGGAGGGAGTTGGGGGGAGGGAGTGCCCCTACGGAACTCTAGCACCCTGGCCAGGCCATGCTCATCTTCTCTTCCCTTGTCTGCGTGCATAGGTGCTGGAACTGGCTTGAAGTAGTCATAACAACCCAAATCCCTGGCTTCTGCCTTCAACACCCCCACTATAAAACTTGTTCCAGCCTGCGTGTGAGCCCCAGGCATCTGGGCATCGTTTCAGGGGGTCACATCCCCAGCTTGGGATTCTCAGGGGGTTAAGAGCTTGTTAACGGGTCACCCCAGGTGATGAGCCGGCGGAGTTTCCTTCCCACTCAGCTGTCTAACTCCCTGCCAGCCGGACTGCTCTTTGCACCGGGCTGGGATAGACACTGCACGGCCCCCGCAAAGCTGTGAAGGCTTCGCGTCCTTTCAGCTTCCCTGGGCTGGTCTTGGTGGGGAATGAAGTGGCTGCCAGTGCGGGGAATAAGAGGACCCTTCTCTTCCAGGAGCCGAGGGCAACCTGCAGCCAGTCCCCAAGTTCGGAGATGTCTATCACGTTACAGGTAATGCTCCAGGAGTGGGCTTAACCCCGTGTGTATTGGGGGCTGTCCCAAGGAGGTGGTGTCTTAAAGATGGGCGTTCTGAGGCTTAATTAGCATTTGCAAAGTGCTTGGAGATCCTGGCTGGAAGGTGCTGTAGAATCTCACAGGGACAGATTTTCACAGGTATTTAATGCAAGTAGGGGCCTAGTGGGATTTCCAAAAACGCTGCTGTAGGTTGGGTACTGGAAATCAATGGGAGCCGGTTAGGTGCTTATCTGCAGCTGTAGGCACCTAAATACCTTTGAAAATGTGGCCCAAAGTACTTTGGCAGGGCAGAAGTGGTGCTCGGCTCCAAGTCAAGTTTAAGCCTGGCGTCTGGGTACAAGGGTTGGGTGGGGAGGGGGTTAGCTCTTCTCTTGAGATGTCAGACAGATCAGGCTTGAGAAATCAGTCCCCTCCAGGTCTGGGAGGTGTTCCAGCCACCAAAGCTGCATAGCTGGGTCTCGGCTTCAAATCAGGCCGCCCCTCCCCCAGCCACACAATGCGAAGGAGTGCAGATGTAGGGCCCTGATCCCCACCTGTTAGAATACTGTTGTCCAGGTTTGTTCCATCTGTATATTCTGAAAGACGGTTGCACCTCCTCTATTGACAGGGGCCCGGCCGCGGTCTGTGTTTGAATGCCACACTCCCGTGTAAGAGTCCAAAGAGTAGGGAGGAAAGTAATTCTGTAGAAGCCGTGATATCACCCTGGTACAATCAGAGCGGCAGGCTCAAGTGCCACAAAGGCAGGACTGCTAACATTATGCACTGCGGCACGGTTCTTTGATGGCGCAGGGGGGCCGGGGGAGGAGCCTGCCGCTCCCATTTCTCAATGCACTAGGAAGGAGGTGCATATAAGCTTGTTCAACGACATCTTGAAACAACCTTAGATCCCCCCCCCCGTCCCCCCCTCTAGCCCCTTTTGGACCCTGGCAAACGAGCTTTGTCGCCTCGGACGTGGTTTGGACAGGACCCCATTGTGCTGAACTTACAATCTCCTCCTAGCTGGGCAAGTGCCCTGGGCCCCCTCCCGACGAGCTCTCACTAGAAGGGATGTCTCTGGCGACTGAAATTTACCTCTGTGCTGCCCCATCCCCCCCAGCCCTCCTCTGTCGTGAATTCGCAGCCCTTAACAATGACCTCTCGAGGTCCCTTCCAGTCCTAGAATCTATGAATCTATTTGCAGTGCCATTGCTGAACATGAAACCAGGTTAGAGAACACTGGGGCAATCCCCTACTCGGCTTTTCTACCCTCCCACTGGCTTCAGGGAGAGTTCGCCTGGGTACAGGGTGAGCCGGGGATCAGGATTAGGCTCCTGCGTTTAAAATCAGCTGGTAGGTTGCTCGTAGCTGCCCCTGCATGGGCCCTGCAGCTGGGGAGTGTGGTCTGACTGTATGGGCGGGGCACACTGTCTCTAAAGCGATTAACTGTAGCTATGACCTGGTCCCTCGGTCTCTATGGGACAGGCTAACCTGGCTCCTGTCACCTCGTGTCCTGCAGGGGTTATCAGCCTGCCCTATGCTGAAATCAAGGAGCCCTTCGAAGCCTGGTACAACCTGACCGGAGGCCAGAGCCGTATCCAGTACTACCACGGTAGGTCACCTGGATACTGTTGGGGTCGCGGTCCAGGGAGGCAGCGTCCTTTCCCCCTAACCCACATTGAATGGATTGCCCACGTCCGGCTGCACGGCCGGGCCCTCTCCTCTGAGTGCATCTAGTGCTGCGGATGGGTCTCTGCCATAGCACGCCTGGAGAGGCAGCACCTGGGCCAAGGCCCCGCAGGCTAAGAATAGATCAGTTTAAGTTCTGTGGTGCAGATAAACTGAGCTTCTAGCGCTTGCTCTGGGGTGCAGCTAGGAGCTTAGGATCTGGCCCCAGGATGGTACCAGAGCTGCGGTCCTGACGCAGGCAGCCCCCCAGTGGAGGCCGGGGGTGTCAGAGAGGGAAATCCAAGCCAGGACGCTCGGGATCGCCCACAGCTCTAGTTTATTCCATGATTCTTTGCTAGAACGCGGTTAATGGCTTCAGGTCACAGCTGCTGCAACTAAACTGGCCACCCTCCCCTGTCCAGCAAGCCTGCCTCTCCTCTCCGCTCCTGCCAGAGGCACGCCAGGGCAGCTCCACTGGCGAACGAGTGCCGAGCAGGAGGGGAGCACCAGTGAGCACCCCATTTACTCCTACTTAGCAGCTCGGGGGAGTCCCACATCCCACTGCAGTGAGTGCCGGGGCTACCTCTAGCCCTCAGCATGGCCCGTGTCTCCCAACCCCCCGTCGCTCAGCACAGAGTGACGGTTGCCTCTGTTACGCTTCCCCTTGCCCTCGGGGAGGGCGTGAGCGCCCGCAGCACTGTTGTAGCCCTCTGTGGTAACTGCTTGCCCTGGGTGCGTCCCTGTAGGCCAAGTGATCACGTACCAGCTTGGGTCTCTGGAGCCATTCGGCGCCAGTTTCAAGGTGACCCCAGAAACCACAGAAACCGAGGCCAACGTTCGGAAGTGCTTCCGGGTCAACGGCACGGCTGGGGATCTCATCAGCCCGCAGAGCGTCTTCCCCCGCCTGGACGGCTTCAAGGTGAGCCTGTGTCTCACGGGACCTGCCAAAGACGGGCCCCGGATGCCAGGCATCCTGCTCGGCGAATGGGCTCTCCGTCCCCCCCCAGGAGACCCCTTAGCTACCTCGCCCTGCTCCATACCACAGGGCCACTGGCCTGACAAAGCACACGCGCCATGGGGCTCTGCGGCAGACTAGTGCATGATGGGTAATTGCGCCAGCACATTAGTGCATGATGGGTAATTGCGCCAGCACACCCCTTCCCCTAACAGCGATGTGACAAGCACAGGGCCAGATCCAGCCCTGCCCTAAGAAAGGTGCATTGCCACTCAAGTCATCTGAGCTTGTGCCAGGGCTGGCTGGGGAGTCAAACCGTCCCTCCCAGGGGTGCCCAAGTGGAAAGGGGTCTGGGGAAGCCTGCCCCATCCCCCTTGTACACCCTGAGCACGGGCCAGGGGTAATCAGCTGAAGGGGGATGGGGACTTCCCCCTTTGTGCACCCCTGGGGAGAATGTCCCCCAAGAGGGGAGGACTGGCCCGCGTCTAGACTTCCAGCCCCGAGGCGCGAGCTTGGCCTGACTGCTGCACAGCGAGCCTTCGTCCTGTGGCTCAGAGCGCACACAGCTGCTGGCCAGGACGCCACGGGCAGCGCTTTGTGTTTGCACCGCGTAGGATCTCTCTTGCTCCAGCAGTTAGCTGTCCCACCTCATTCGGAAACACTGCCCCTAACGCCCGCTGCCTCCCCAGCCCGTGCGGGAGGAGTCCTACAAAGGGCAGCTCTGCACCGTGTGGCAGAACGTGTCCTACTGGGGCCGGAAGAAGAACGTCTACACCCTGTGGGTGGCCATCTCCGCCGACGGCCCCGTGCCCGTCCACTACGAGATGCGGGGCTTCAACAGCCTGCTGGGCTCCCACTACGACAAGTACGAGATCGACTACAGCGGCTTCGCCCGCAACTACCCAGCCGAGGTCTTCAGCCTCCCACACGGTAAGCGCCCTGCTGCCCTGGTCTATAGGGCTTCTGCCACCACACCCAACACTGCAGCAAGGGACCGTAGATCCAGCTGAGACACCGCCCATCCCCTCCATCCCCTGCAAGCGCTTCTGGCTACACCAATACCTGGCCACGCCGCAGGCAAACGGGTTGGTGAATCAAGGGACTTGAAATCAGATCGGTGCCTGTGTAGATGGCGCTGGTGTCCTCACGGAGCACAGTCTGTTGGTGAAGCTGTACAGACTGAAAGGAGAGCCCGTGCCATGCAGATCCTGGTTGGCAAACGCTGGATGTGAACGTACTGGCGCTGGCAAACCTTGCACCGGGCAGAGACGTGTCAGCTTTCCATACGGCCCCTCAGCTGGTGTGAAGCAGCGTAGTTCTGCTGAAGTCTTTTACACCAGTGACAGCCATGTGGTCCTCCAGAGCCAGGCTGGCTAACCCACTAACTGTTGCCAGGCTCCATGTGCCTCAATTTTTCTGACGCCCTTCTGCTGAACTGAACTGGAGAGGTCACACTGGCCTGGCCCAGCCTGCTCCCTGGTGTCAGGCCATGGTGTGGGGTAGGTGCCGTTAGCACAGGCAGTGCCACAGGCTTGCATGGGGGAGGGTTTTGAGAATAAACCAAGCCCTGGGAATTTCCGAGATGCTAAAGATGCTCCCTCTAACCAAACCTCCCCATGCTCGACCGTAGGGTTTGAAAACGTAACTGGACCAAGGTCCTAGAAAAGAGCTCTCCATCCCTTACTTCTGAACCTAGCCTGGGACATGGGGAGGGCCCTCTGCAAGTGCCTAACGCAGTGAACAACCGGTGCAGGGCCAGATTCTGCTCTGACCCTGGATTTACACTGATGTAGCCCTCCCCTCCCCCAACTCAAAGGGAATTACTCCAGATTAACACCCATGTACCAGCACAATCTGGCCTACTCCCTACCTATAGGCCAACCACAACTTTTTACTGCAGCAAGAAGTGAACTGGTGAAGATGCAGCTTGATTTATGATTGATTGATAGAGAGAGAGAGAGAGAGAGTCCAGCGGAGGGCAACAGAAATGATTAGGGGGCTGGAGCACATGATTTATGAGGAGAGGCTGAGGGAACTGGGATTGTTTAGTCTGCAGAAGAGAAGAATGAGGGGGGATTTGATAGCTGCTTTCAACTACCTGAACGGAGGTTCCAAAGAGGATGGAGCTCAGCTGTTTTCAGGGGTGGCAGATGACAGAACAAGGAGCAATGGTCTCAAGTTGCAGTGGGGGAGATCTAGGTTGGATATCAGGAAACACTATTTCACTAGGAGGGTGGTGAAGCACTGGAATGGGTTACCTAGGGAGGTGGTGGAATCTCCTTCCTTAGAAGTTTTTAAGGCCCGGCTTGACAAAGCCCTGGCTGGGATGATTTAGTTGGGAATTGGTCCTGCTTTGAGCAGGGGGTTGGACTAGATATCTCCTGAGATCTCTTCCAACCCTAATCTTCTATGATTCTATGATCAGATAAAGTCAATCCTGCTCTTGATAACCTTTGCCCTGCCAGTCTGCTCCAGGAATAATCTGTGCCTGCCACAAACTTGTCCATGACAGTTGCTTCTGCCTCTATCCTTAATAGGTCTAAAATGCGAGCACTGGCCTGGCGCAGGGCCGGAGCACCAGATCCTGGCCAATCCAATGCAGGAATTTGTCGGGAGAATTAGAGAAACAGACAGAGTCCATCACCGGCTGTTCCACCACTACAAGGAGAAGTTCAGGAAGACATACAGCACCGAGAAGGAGATGGAACACAGGAAACGCACCTTCATCCACAACATGAGGTACGGGGCTATCTGGGAACGGAAAGGAGGAACAAGAGGGTCTGTTTAAGTATCTCAAGGAATGATCCAAGGGACTGGTTGCTTGATAGAGGCGTCTTCTAATAACGATGGAAGAGACTCCTGCCCAGCCTGTGTGGGGCTGCGCTGGGGTACTCTCTTGAGAAGAGAGGATGCCTGGTCAACGTGCCCTCACGTCGTACGCCTGGAACGAACCCAGGACACAGCGCGAGTGTGATTTTGGTTGCTATTCTTTGGGTGTGCAGCTCAAGCGTTCGGGACTCTCGGTCCAGGCTGAAAATCCGGCCCCAAGCACCCAAAAAATCCAGGGGTTGGGGCTGGGAAGTTTGGGTGCAAACCCCTGGCCTCTCCCACCACACGTGGGGCAGCCCCAAGCTGAGGGAACTCCCCAGACCGCTAGAAGTGATGCAGGCCGAGTCTCTTGCGTGACATTCCCCCCCCCCAAAGAGTAGCTTAGAGGGTAAGTGCTAAGGGACGACTGCTCTGCATCACGGCCCATGGAACCTGACCCAGATACTGTCCCAGGCCCTTCCCTCTCGTTACAGGGCTGAGCTTCTCCGGGCTCCAGCCTAGGTGGGAGGAGGAGGTGGCTTCTTCTGGGATTGCTTCTCCCACGCGCCCTGGCATGGCTAGGAGCCTCCCATGCCGGTTATGATTGTTTGGTTTTTTGGGGTTACTGGCTGCAGGGAGGGTGGCCACAAACCAGTGCTGCCTGCTGCCCGGCTCCCCCTCTCTTCACATCATCCATCCCCTCCCAGGTACATCCACTCCAAGAATCGGGCCAACCTGCCCTACAAGCTGGTGCTGAACCACCTGGCCGACCGCACCCCGGAGGAGATGGCCGTGCTGCGGGGGCGGCTAAAGAGCGGGGCCCCCAACAACGGGCAGCCGTTCCCGTCCGAGGGGTACAAGAGCCTCGTCCTACCAGAGAGCCTGGACTGGAGGCTGTACGGTGAGTGAGACATGCCGGGCTCTGCCTCCCATTCTAACCTACCAATGGTGCAGCAGGGAGCTTAAGCCCTGCCCAGGGGGCTCTCTTCTGGAGCCACTGCATAGGACAGCCTGAGAAGGGAAACAGATCCCAGAGAAAACTAGCTCCGATGCACTGCACACCCCGGGCACTGAG